TGGGGTTTTGGGGAAATCAGAGTTTGAGCAAAGCCCCCTGGGGATGTGGCTGAGCAGCCACAAGAAGGCAGTCTCCTGCAAGTTCCTTCTGCAACTGGGGCCTCAGTGGCAGGAAAAGGCTTGGGGGAGTGGGGGTGGAGGTGAGGGGGTCAGGAAGCCTCCCACCAGAATGTGACCACCTTGGCCAGCCTCTGCCTCCGCCGGCCCCCCTACTCCTGTCCTGTGCATGCAGCTGCCTGTACTGGACCTCCTCCCATGGCTGCCCATCAGCCCAGACTCCAGCGGTGGGCTGGCAAGCCTTCCCTGCATGTCCTGCCAGCTTCTTCTCCATGAGCAGCTAACTCTCGCCTCATCAGCCTCCTGATTCCTGAACCTTCCAAAGTCATTGCTGCCTAGGGCGTCTGTCCAGACTATTCCCTCTGCCCAGATCTCTCTCCTGTCAGAGGACCCTTGAGTCTTCTTGGCGATCCTTCCTTCTCCTCAGCTCATATCTGCCTCCCTGATTCCCAGTGCAAAGAAGCCCTTCTCAGGGCTCTCAGAGACATTGCCTGGAGACTCTACATAGTACTCGGTGCCACTGGAAGTTCTTGTTAGGATTTCCATTTTATTAACGGTCTCTTACCCTCCCCCTGCCCTTACCCACCCTCTACCACTCCATCTCTTATCCTGTGCGCCCCCCCCCCACACAACCAGATGCTTCTTACAGCTTTGTTCATGACTGTATTTCCAGCTGCTGACACACTAGCTGATGCACAGTAGCTGCTCAATAAATATTATTGAGAGGCCCCTGGCTGGCTCAGTCAGTAGAACTCATGACCTTGAGTCATGAGGCCCCACATTGGGTTTAAAGCCTACTTAAGAAAAGAAATACTTTTTGAGCAGGTGGATGGTTTGAGGTTGAGCCTTTGGGTTATAGGTTTACTTAGAATTTTAGCCTAATTTGGTTGGGAGAAAGCTGTGCTGTAAGGCCCAGGACGTACATTGTAAAAGTACAATTGCAGCAAGTTTTGTTCTGCTTCCAGGCTATAGCAAAGCATTTTAATATGCAAAGTCTGTAGTTGCAAATGTCCTGCTGTGATTTAAAACCCTGAGTCTTAGAGTCTGTGGCCCTGCATTGGGTTTGGGAGCTTCCTTGCACATAGAATAAGTCAAAGGGATTGGGATGCAATCCATAGATGTGTTTTGAAATAAATTTAAATTAGTTGCCAGTATTGAGGAATTGGAAGGTTTCATGTAGTGCATTTCAGCAATTCTTTGGAGAGCTCTTTAGGTCTTGTACCGCTGGGCCTACATTCCTGAGTGTAGCACCTGGCCGGCTCTGGTAGGGACAGTGGGGTTGATTCCTCCTGGGCCCACTTCCTTTGTTTCTCTGGCTGGCCTCGCGCAGGTAGTCACAAGAGGCATGTGATGACAGAGTGACTGTCACCTTGTCCTGCATGGAGGCCCATAATTATGTTTCCTTCTTGAAGGAAAAGAGTGGGGTGCTTTCAAGGCCCTTACCCACAAATGACTGCTTCACCCTGGTGTCTCAGCTGCGTGAACAGACTTGCACCCCAGTCTTCTCCCCCCAAGATGAGCAAGATGAGACCCCTGGGCTGAGGGGGCCAGGGGACAGCAGCGTGTGTGGTGATGGTGCTCTCTTCTGCACGGGGCCTGGGCCTGGACGCTGCAGCCCACGGTACCCTCACACACCCTGGACAGGGTCTTCCCCCACCTCTTTCTCCCCTACCATCAGACCTCTCACTTTGTTCCCCCTTCCTGAGCCACAGAGGAGGCTTCTGGGAAAGGATGACTCACACACTCTCAGAATTTTGAGCGAGGGGGATGCTAGGAGAGCCGCTTGCCAGCCTCAGGCTGGATCAGAAATAGCCATGATAATTTGCTCTGATCTTGCAGTCCTGATCCTGGCATGAAAAGATGCAGCCCTTCTGACTGCTTGAAACTGTTTCAAGATACAGAAATTTGTTTCCTTTTCCCTCTGAATATTTATTTATTGCAAACTATCATTCTGATCAAGAACAAAATCAAAAGGAAAAATTACCCCAGTGCTAGGACTATAATAAGCTTCTATCTTCTTTTCCAGCCCTCTTTGTACATATGCTTTATTGTTATTATAAGAAAGTTCAAACTCATGCACTATGCACTACAGTATTCCCAGCACCCAGACCAAAGGATGGCATGCCATGGGATTCAGTAAATATTTGTTGACTACAGGTTATTTTGTTTACTTATCTGACATGAACATCATTCACTCATGTTCTGATTGTTTACTGCATCATTCACTGATTACTATTGCATCAAATTGTTAGAATTTATTTGCCAGTTTCCTATATTTAGATTTCCCCAGTTTATCAGGATTAGAAATACTGTTACATTTCCTTAGGATAAATTTCAAGCATTTGAATTCCTAGATCAGAGGATAAAAAAATTAAAATTATAAAAAAAATAGTTTCTAGGTATGCCTGGCTGGCTCAGTTGGAAGAGCATACAACTCTATCTGGGATTGTGAGTTTTAATCTCACATTAGGTGTGGAGATTATATACATACATACGTAAACAAACAAGCTTTCTAGAGTCTTATTTATCCCTATTGCCAGGATTGCTTGAGAATATTAACTTTACAATCACCTCATCAGCATTTAGATTGCATTTTGAGATTTTTGCTAATTTAGTAGTATAAGATGGTACCCAATTGTTTCAACTTGGCCTATCTACATGTGTGATTAGTAGTGTAGGTTGAAGAATTGTCTAAGCGTTTAATAATAGTATTTCTGGGATGCCTGGGTGGCTCAGTGGTTGAGCATCTACCTTTGGCTCAGCATGTGATCCTGCAGTCTCAGGATCGAGTCCTGCATCGGGCTCCCTGCATGGAACCTGCTTCTCCCTCTGCCTATGTCTCTGCCTCTCTGTGTCTCTCATGAATAAATAAATAAAATCTTTTAAAATAATAATAATAATAATAGTATTTCTTCTTATGTGCCTTGTCTGTTTGAGTAGTTTGTGTTACCTATTAGAACACAATTTTCAGCTGGATTTGGATGAATATTTTATTTACTTATTTTTTAAAATAATCCAGGTGCCCCTCGATTTGAGTGAATTTATAATACAGATATTATTAACCCAATTTTCCTATCATAGTGACTGCAAACATCTTCCTATTGTGTGATTTTCTGTTTTTAACACCCAGTGTGTTGTTACAGATGTCATTTTCTGTGCTTTGGAGGGTCTGAGAATATGGTGGCTGGAAGGACATTAGAATTCAAGCTTGACCACAGTGTCTCAGATGGAGAGTCCCTGGCCCAGAGAGCAGAGGCGGGGGGCACAGGTGGCAGGAGGGGAGCCAGGGCTGATGCAGCCCCAGACTGCCACTCCTTAATCTCCTCAGTGTCTTCTGAGCGGTAGTGCTGTCTCCTGGCTCCTAAAAACCCCATGTGACTCCCCTGGCCCAGACAGTTCTTTCAAGTGGAGGTTCATTCTTCTCTTTTTTGAACCAAGGCAAGCTTTGTAGGACTCCACTGAAAGCATACTGTTGCCACTCCGACAATAAGGAGTCAGCCATTCCATCTTTCTGACTCAGGGCGTTTAAAAATATCCTAAGCTGGGGAATTTGGAGGAACTCATGATCGATTTGTGAACATTAAGCTCTTAACAGGCAGCAAATGCAATCTAATATCAAATTACCCTCAGAAGATGCATTAGTGCCACAGTGTCGGCAGCCACTTGTGTGCTAGGTGTTGTCCTAGATATTTGGAGTCTGCAGAGGGTGAGGAGAGGGACATGACCAATCTTGAGGTTGTGGTTGCTCTTGCCTGGAGGAGATGATGCATCAGGAGGGCTCTTGCTTCATGCTGAGTTGTCTGTGTCTCACTGCTGGGGAAGGAGGGTCCCAGAACTGTTAGGTGACTCCCAAAATGGCAGTTTGGAAGCCTGGTTTAGATGCAAAGACTAATCCCAGCTCTGCTGCTGTTCCACCAGCATCCTGGACCACCCCTCCCCTCCCCGCCCCTGCCCAGCTCTTCCAATACATTCATGGGCAGCTCTGTCCATGCATTCACAGATGTACAGCAAATACTTCCTTAGTCGAGACTGCACTAGACAACTTGATGGCCACAGAGGTACTCCAGGGGCTTATACTTCAGTGGGATAAACAGAAATGGTAATATCTACCCATTAAACAAGCAGAATTCTAAATGGGGGTAAATAAAATGCTGGAGGTGCACAGAGCCATCAGTGAATAGTTTTGAATAGAGGGTGTGTGAGCTCCTTGAAGAGATGGCACTGTGTCCACCCTGGGCGTGAGCAGCATCTGGGCAGGGTGAGGCAGGAAGAAGGAATGAAGTGGGGAAGGGGGAGGGCAAAAGGAACAGACCCGTGAGCCAGCCATCATCCAGGTGGCTATGGTGCAGGGAGGGCAGGAAGGAGAGGGTGGGTCTAGGCAGCAAAAGATGCTCAGAAGCCATGAGAGTGTTTGAGTGATAGGAAAAGAGACATCTGTCTGGCAGCCTGGGAATGTTCTAGGCCTTGAGTGGAAGAGTCCTCAGAAAGGAGCCCAGGAAAGAAGAGATGCCAGCCCAGGAGGTGAGGGGCCCATGTGCTGAGCAGAGGCAGCTTTTCCCAATGTACGAGATGAACCGTCTCCCACGGCCACTGACACTAATGGCAGTGAGTGGCAGAGGTATCCCTGATGATTTTCTGATTCTAGCCTTTTTATTTATTGGCATCAGTCTGGTAGGCCAGAGCAGGGGAGGGCCAGCAGGTGCAGTGGCTTTGAAGTCTATTAGTGTAATTTGGAGGAGTCCTGATCATTGGTATTCATGTGTTCATTATTTCAACAACTAGTTATTGAGTGCCTACCATGTACCAGGTGTTTAACAGTAGACAGCAGGGAAATGATGTCCATGTAGCAAAGACCCAAATCCTAGAAGTTTGGATTCTCATTGCTGTACTCCCCCTATGCACCCCGTCTCGTCATAATAACGTTTATACATCTTCCATTCTAGATGCCTTAGGGCCATGAGAGCTGCCCCCGAAGACTCCTAGTGGCCAACAGCTCCCAGGCAACGCATGTGCTTGGGCTCCAGCTCCCACTGACACAAGCGGGAATCCCATCTGCCGGCCCTCCAGCCTGGAAGCCTCCCCGAACCATGGAGGCCCCGGACGTCCCCGTGGGCACACTGATAGACTTCGGGACTGAGCCGTCTGCCTCCTCACCCCTGGAAGCCCTACCTCCGAAGCTGCAGGATGGGGATAGCTCCCAGGGCGACGGTGCTTCGGAGAGCGAGACCACAGAGTCTGCGGACAGTGAGAATGACATGGGCGAGTCACCCTCACACCCATCCTGGGACCAGTACCGCCGCTCCTCCTCCAATGAGTCCTTCTGTTCCAACCAGAGCACCGAGTCCACCAAGGATGAGGAGGCCCCGGAGCTCCGGGAGTTCATGCGCAGCTACGTGGAAAAGATCTTCTCTGGAGGGTGAGCCCCTAGGACCTGCTCTGTGCTCCCGGCTCTGTCCTTTACAGGGCACCCCCTGGGGCCCAGGCTTCCGTGGGCCACCTGGGTGGTTCTGAGCCTCACCCCTTGTTTCAGCCACTCCAAGGACAGGCTCACATCCTTGCTGCTAAATCCAGGACTCTAGTTTGCTTACCTGTGTCTGAGCAATGTCAGGTTAGCTACTCAGCCTTCCCTGTCAGACTCATACTCCGTTAGGGCACCGCTGCTGCTGGCAGACTTTCAGTGCAGGAGGTGTGTAGGCCAAAAGGTTTCAGTTACCCATACTCCTCACCATGCTCATGGCAGCTAAACCTCCAGCAACTGCCAGGAAGGGGACGCTTCCTTGCTCCTCTTTCTTGCCTTTCTTCTATGTTTCAGGGGTAAATGGGAGCCCTGGCAATTGGAGCAGCAGGGAGCAGAGGTTGGGTTGGGATCAGGCTAAGGAGGGGGTGTCTGTGGGTGGGCCTCCAGCTCCCCCAACCACACTTGTTACTATCCCAACATGGGGGTGGAGAGCCTGCAAACCCAAATTCCTGGGTTTTAGATGTCAGCTTTGCCCTGCATCCTTGCCACACACTGGTCATTGGAGGCCTTGCTGCTCCTTTGTCTTATGTAGAGACCTACAGCATCAGCATCATGGGAACTTGCTAGAAATGCAGAGTCTTGGGCCCTAGCCAGACCCACTGAATCTGAATCTGCATTTCAACGAAACCTCTGGACTCTCCATGCACACACTTCAGTGTGGGGAGCTAAGTGAATGAAGGGATCATTTTTCAGTTTTAGTGAAGAAATAAGACTGCCTATTGGCACCATGTATAGTGTACACTATTTCCTACCATGATTAAGGCCCCTTGTTTGTAACTGAGCAAGATGGATGTCTGCCTTTTCCAGATGTGCGTCCGCTTTCTTTGCAGTTAGATGAGGGAAGAGAGCTCAGTGATAATCCAAATAATGGCCTCTGCAAAAACACATTCATGTTCGATTTTGAATGCATTCTAGGAGAGCAGTAGATGTGGCTCCCTCCTAATTTTGTTTGACTAACACTGGAATTGGTCTGCTTTCTCTGAGCACACCCAGTTAATGAAAGGGGAGAAAGCATGGAAGCTTGCTAATTTGTCAGGAAGGCCAATCTATATTTGTGGCAGCCTGTCAGCAGTATGGAGCACGAACAACTGAGCCGGATGCATTTTCAAGAGCATTCCAGAAATCACTGCAAACTGGCTGGCAAATTCTCCGATTTCATCTGGTGTTGGTATTTTGGGATAAATGAGACCAAGATGTTTTCTACAAAACCTTAAATAAATGAAAAATTGCATGAGCTAATTGATCTTCAGCCCTTCTGTTTCTTTTTTATTTTGTCTTTAAATCTGGGGCAGATTATTAGCCTCCCACGAAGAGGGATCAGAAGTAGTTTAAGGTCAGGTGAGCATTCTGTTCACCCTGGCATTGGTGACCCGCTAGGGTCCCCTAGTCTCCATCCCTCACATACACCGCCAGGATTGTCAGAGGGGTGAGCAGACTGGCTCTTCAGAATAACCAACCAAAGCCAGTATGTCCTGCTGAGACTGAGCAGATTAGGGTTTCTTGAATTCACTGGATGGTTCTCTGCTGATTTCAGCCCTAGTGGATGGGAAGGCAGTGGAGCTAGAGAGCCAGGCCCTCAGAGGGTCACCTTACCTTTGTCAGAGCTCCTACTTCACTGGAGGCAGGACGCAAGGGACAGAGCCTGGGCTTTGGAGACAGGAAGTCTGGATGGAGCTCCTGTTTGCTGCTCTCTAGCTGTGTTTGATCCTCTCTGAGCCAGTTTCCTCATCTTTGAGATAGAAAATACCCCAATTCCTCATGGGCTCACCCGAGGGTGGGATGAGCTGGTGTAAGTTAGGCATCTGCTCCTAGGGTGCCATACTTCCTTGTTCCTTCTGCCTCTTCCCCGCTGTGGCTGGATTTCTTCCAGAGGATTGAAAGTTGCTTTGCCTCCTCTGTTCCTTTCAGGGAGGACTTGGACCAGGAGGAGAAAGCCAAGTTTGGAGAGTACTGTAGCAGTGAGAACGGGAAAGGCCGCGAGTGGTTTGCTCGATACGTGAGCGCCCAGGTGAGGGGCGGCGTCGGGAGGCGCAGGGGTGTGTGGCACGTTCCCGTCACCTCTGCAGCACCCACTCTGGAGAAAAGAGTCACGGGAAACAATCCAGCTGAGAAACTAGTAGAACTTACTTAAAGATGTTCCCCAAAGACCTCACTAGAGTAGCGGGAAGTGAGAAGTCGCTCATCCAAATGCCCCTACTAGAAAAAATGAGCGAGCAAACTAGTCTTTCAAACTGCTTGCAATTACAGAACAGTTTGTTTTTTTAAGGGCAAGCATGTGGACAATGTCCGTGCCTAATTTTAGTCAATAACCCTCAATATTCAGTTTTTATAAAGATAATGTAGACAGTGACAGCCATGAGAATTCAGAAAAGAACGATTTTTTTGGTAAATATCTTGTAGGCTTTTTTTTTCTCTGAAGTGGCTTAGGCTCTTAGTTTTTAAAGTATTTTTTAATCACAATTTATTTTCCAAGAAGAAATTAGAAAATGCAAATCAGCAAAAAATAGAGAAACAGCCCATAACTACACTCCAGAAATCTCCCATGTTGTCATCTGCAGGTTTAATCCCTCCAAGCTGTTCTGTGTTGTGTAGGTAAGCGTGTGGTGTTCCTAGCTCTTAAAATTTCAAGGAGATGCAGGAAAATGTTGGCTTGTGCTCTGCCAAGCAGTGGTGTTGTGCCCGGTGCCAGCACCCTGCTCAGGGTCCTGGCTGCTGTGAAGCAGGGGAGGCTGCTCCCGTCCCAGGCTCGTGGCCGGGCTGTGTCTAGTGCTGCTCAGCATGGTAAGCCCAGCACCCGTCTGAGCTGCAGCGTGCCTCCACCACCTGCTCGCCCCATGACGTGTCTGCCCTATTCCTGGACAGCGCTGCAACTCCAAGTGTGTCTCGGAGCCAACCTTCTACCGCCTGGTGCAGTCTTTCGCTGTCGTCTTGTTTGAGTAAGTAATGCTGTCACTCAAAGCCTCTGTCCTACAAGCATGTCTTCCCCACCTCTCCTATCCCGTACTAACCCAGCCATAACAGCCACCTGCGTCATCAACTGGCATTTGCTCTGATCCGCCCCCACCCCCCATCTGCTGAGAGGCAGCGTCCTACCAGCCTCTTGCAAGAGGGAGTTAGGGTCCTCCCCCGGCAGTAGAGGTTAGGTGGGAGTAAATCCCTCCACGAGGGCTATAGGACAGGCTGGGATGACACGCAATTGACCCTGCCCTCCTGCAGCGGAGATGTGGCCTTTTCTTGATTTCTTGTTGTAAAGTACTTCCAACTAGATAACCACCCACTTAATGATGTGATCAGATGACTTGGGCCTGCCCTGAGTACTAATTAGGCCCTGCTGGAACGTTTTATCACAGCACAGTAGAAGCCGGAGGGTGATAAAAAAGGGCCCCTCCTGCCCCTGTGTAGCTGTGAGAGGCAGGCCATGTGACTCACAGGCTCCCTCCTCCTGAGGCCCTGCAGTTCTGGGACTGCCAGGCCCACGTCATGCATCTTGGACCTGCGTCAGAGCAGGTGACAGCACCTCCACCAGCATGAAAGGACAGGATGTGTCTCTGCCTTGAGGAGGTGAACAACAGCTTTATTGATCTGGGGGCAGGGGAGAGGAAGCCCCAATCTGGCAGTTGTTTATGCCCTACTTACCCTTGTTTCCTCATTGTGGTTCCGTGGTCCTGGTCCTTGTGGTTTGCCTCCATGTTTTGAGGCCTGAAAACCCCCCTCCTTTCCTTTTCTTTCCCCTTCTTATCCCAGCAGAAACATCACCGCTCTTGTGAACCTTAATTCCCTTGTGTCTTGATGTGTCCTCATCTCTTAATTCCCCCCACGAACACAGAGCATGGACTAGAGGGAAAAGACCAAAAAGAGGAGGATCCTTATTTTTCCAGCACCTGCTTGGAATGTCCCAAGTTGAGGATAGGCTCATGTGGGATTCTGGGTCTCAGAGCTGGCAAGGGTGGAGGGACAAGAAAGCATCACGGAAGGAGCGGGTTTCAAACAGGCCCAGTTGTCTTGTGTGTAACACACTCTCGAGCTCTGAGAATACCTCAGCTTCAAAACATTCCCATCCAAAGGATTTCTCACGAATCCATATTTTGTAAAGATTGCACCTGTCCCACTTGGTAACACATATTTAATTCTGCATTTACTTTGAATTTTTCCTTAAAATAGGAGAGGGGAAAAAATACATTCAAATTCCAACCCGACTAAAACACAGAACCTCCCCATTTCTGGGTGAGCATATGTATTTGTGGATGGTTGGAGGAAAAAAAGAAAGGAAAAAAACCTTGTGATCTTCTAAAAATATGTATTTTTAAAATTTGAGCTTTACAATTTTTAGTTTATTAGGGTTTTATGTTTTTAATTTATAGTCCTTTATGATTTTATTGGCAGAGTTTAGGTCTTCAAGTTTTAAATTATTTTTATATTAAAAGGGAAAACTGTCCCTGACCCCATTGTATAGATAAATTCCGTTGACTTTTTTTTTTTAAGATTTTATTTATTTATTCATGAGAGATACAGAGAGAGAGAGGCAGAGACACAGGCAGAGGGAGAAGCAGGTTCCATGCAGGGAGCCCGATGTGGGACTCAGTCCCGAGACCCTGGGATCATGTCCTGAGCCGAAGGCAGATGCTCAACCGTTGAGCCACCCAGACGTCCTGACTTTTTTTTTTTAAGTAATATTTGTACAAAATTAGAAACTAAACAGGAAAGAAAAATACAGAAGAACAGGGTAGAGAGGCATAGTGCCTAAAATGGAAAGGAAACCTCTTCTCACAGCCCTGTCCTCACTCCTATGGCCCTCTTTCCAGTGATAACCCCTATCAATGACACATCCCAGTGAGTATATATTTTTCCAAAAAAAAAAAAAAAGGGCATTGCATCCCCATACAATTAATTATTCGTTTCTAATGGCTATATGGTGTTCTGATATCTAAATGTATCATAGTTTATTTGACTTGCGCCCCATCAGTGGTCCTTGGATTATTCCTCCTCATTGTCTCCTCTGGTTCCTGGTGCTGCAGTGGGCAACAGTGTCGCATTTGTAGCTGTCACAGTGCACATGTCTAGGGGCAGGCAGGCCCCCTGTTTGAAGATTCCCCCCCCCTTTTTTTGTTTGCTACGCTGACTGGATCTGTGTGTAGCTCATAAACCTTAGTGTAGGGCAGCCCCAGTGGTGCAGCGGTTTGACGCCGCCTGCAGCCCAGGGTGTGATCCTGGAGACCCGGGATCGAGTCCCACATCGGGCTCCCTGCATGGAGCCTGCTTCTCCCTCTGCCTGTGTCTCTGCCTCTCTCTGTGTGTGTGTCTATGAATAAATAAATAAACTCTTAAAAATTAAAAAAAAACCTTAGTGTAGTAAGTATAGTAATTATAATCCTTTGCATTTGTGGAACATTTTTTGGTATATAAAAGGTTCTTGTGTTTAACAACTTAATTTGATTTTCGGCAAGTGATATAGGGTAGGTATTCATATTCCCAGTGCTTCTCCAAGTGCTCTCCCTGGGCCCAGGAGCATTAGAACATCAGCTTGACAAGGCAGTTTGTTAGAAATGCACATTCTTATTAGGCCCTAGCCCAGACACACTGAACCAGATTCTGGGGGTGGGCCCAGCAGGTGGGCTACTCTCAGGGTGATTCTAATGTAACTCAAGTCTAAAAACCACTGACTAGTATACCCTCGAACTCACTGCTAATTCCTGAGAATTAGGGGTTGGAGGGCCACCTGGCCTGGGGCCTGACTTCCAGTCCTGGCGCTGCTCCTGTGTATAGGATTAAGCTTCCTGAGCCTTGCTGTTCCACTTTGAAAGGGAGAGGAGGCCAGTCTAATGGACCAAGATCTCCTTCCTGCCCAGGATCAGAACAATCCCCAGCTGTGTGCCTATGGGCACTTCATCCAATTGGAGATTCTTTTTTATTGCTTCTACATAGCATCTGGGGAGTGAAGTATTAATGTGGACATATTTATAAAATTCTTAGGTCTTGCTTCATGAACTTGCACTGATAAAATTGGGTAGAATGATTCTTTAGCTAGTCGAGCCTTACTTGTCATTTTAGGTGTCATCAGATGGACGACTTTGGGCCTGCCAAGAACCTCATGACCATGTGCTTCACCTACTATCACATTGGTAAGGCCACGGACGTAGCCTCTGTGGAGGGCAAACATGGAAACTCAACACTTGTCACTTTATAACGTGGCATCAAGTGAGGATTTCTTCCCCATTAGCAGCAAAGTTGTGAGGCTTCCAGAAAGCAACAGAACCTGAGGTTAGGGTGGGATGAGCAAGGAGTAAGGTTCCTGAAACAGGAGGAAAAGAGGTAGTCCACACTGTGGGTCATGAAGTTGCCTATCCATGGTAGGAAGGAAAGCACCCAGCGCCTAGATGAGAGGCTAAGTTCATTTGGTGGGAGATTCCATGGCAGACTCAGGGATTGCTGGATGTGAGAACATTCTTTCACGTTTTAGCAAAATACAACATTGGGTTGGTTACTGGAGAGAATGGGAGGATCAATATAGGGTCTTGGGGTGGAACGCGTCCCTGGGTGTGGGTTGGTGATGCCCTTATGAAGAGTGCAGACTGTTCTTTATTCTGATGCCTGACAGTTCTTCTGGCTCGTTGTGTTGGAACTTTCTGGTAATGGGAACTTGAGGGCTCCCTGTGTGAAGTTCCTTGGGTGTGACAGCGGAGACTCATTCAGGCCGCTGTGAGCGAAGGCTGCTGGGGGCCTGCATGTGGTCTGGAGCTGGGTCAGGGCAGCAGTAAGCATGGCCTCCCTTCCCACCTTTCTCAGGATGCACAGTTCTGTTCTGATGCTATAACCCTGAGTCCTCTGCAGTTTGGCTTTGTACTTCCCCCACTCCCAAGTGCCTGTCCTCTCCATGCCTCAGTTCTGCCTGTGACAGCTGGTCAGACTGCCTTAGCTCGAGGCCAGGCCACCACTAGGCAGGTCCTTCATGCTAGGCCTTTGGGTCAAATGGGAACCGCTCGTCCACACTGTGCTCCTCCTTCTCAAAGAGCTGCTCAAGTAGCTGCTGCTTGTCTGCGTCACATCTGTGCAGTTGCTTACATTAGTAGGGGTCACTCACCCCTTGACCTTTAGGGGCCCTTTGATGAGCAGGGGCCACCCTGACCCGCAGGAGAGCCTTTGGCCCTCAGGGGACACCCTGGCCTGTGGGAGACCCTTAGACCCACAGGGGGCTCCTTGACCGGCAGGAGACCCTCTGACCAGCAGGGGGCGCCCTGACCTGCAGGAAACCCTGACCTGTGGGGGCACCCTGACCCGCAGGAGAGCCTTTGGCCGTGCTGTCTCTCCCCCTCCCCCTCCCCAGGGATGCCCACTCCTGCCTGGGCCAGTGTCAGGCCCACAGCAGGACCCGGAGCCTCTCTTGTGTCCACCTGCCTTCTCCCAGCACAGGGAGAGGTTCTTGGGCCACCTGTAATCCTTGGCCTCCTCCAGCACAGTGTAGCTGTGTGTGTGCCTTGCTCCCCACCTTCAGGTCGCTGAGCTCCTTCAGGGCTGGTCCTCCCGTTTCCTCTGCAGTCTGGGGGCCCTGGCTAGCATCTTGTATGCAGTGGGTGCTTAGCTGTGGCCCTGAGAGGCCCGGCCTGCCACCTTCCCCTGGCATCTGGGAGCCTCTACTTGTCGCCGCTGCCACCAGGGGTCCTGGCACCCTGTTGTTCCTGCTAAGCTGTGCGGTGCCATTCCTGCTCCCTCCCACCTTCACCCCCTCAGGTAAGCCACACCTGCTGCCCATGGAGTCCAAGGAAAAGCCTGCAGGGAGCATCGACTCCTACCTGAAATCCGCCAACAGCTGGCTGGCAGAGAAGAAGGACATCGCTGAGCGGCTGCTGAAGAACACGGCCAGAACAGAGAATGTCAAGGGCTTCTTTGGGGGGCTGGAGACCAAGCTGAAGGGACCCCTGGCCAAGAAGTACGAGTAAGTGTGTCACTAGGAGGGCTATGGCGAGGGCCAGGCATGACGTGGGCGGAGGCCATGTGCAGAGGCAGTGACAGGGAGGCCCTGACCTGGCAGTGGAGGGGTCTGTGCGGCCACCCTGGGTAACTTTAGGGTCCTGCTAGCCGCTCCTGGTAAGCACAGCTGCCGGCCCCACTGGACTCCCCACCCTCCACACAGAGTTTTCTGTGGTTTGCAAATGCCATTGGGTTGACTGACAGGCAGGGGTGTCCCCTGGGGGTCAGGGTTTTCTAGGACTGATGGGGAGCATGTTGAAACTGCCAGCGAGCAGGAGGGGACTTGCAAGCCCTCTTGCCCCCTTCCTCCTGGAAGTGTGGTGAGAGCCAGTATGAACGGAACCGGGTAGGCAGGGGATGGACTCCCATCCCCCAGGACAGCCGTTCTGTAGCAGGAGCTCAGGAGCCTTCTGGGACCGGGTGCTTGGGAACGGGTTGTTGAAGTGAAGACTTCCCAAGAAAGGGGCACGTCAACAAGAGGGTACTCCGGGCTCCCAGTGTCTGCGCCATGCCCACTGCAGTCCCCACAGTCCCTTCTCATGGTGGGTTACAGCCAGGTGACTTGGAAGATTCCTTCTGTGGTCCAGGCAGTTTGGGATGCAGAGAAAATGATGCACAGAAGCCTACATGCCACATCTCCTTAATTCTGGTAGATGGACAATTGGCAAATGTAGCATTGACTTAATAGCACCTTTTCAGAGAAAACCACATTAAATGTCCCCACTACTAAAAGACATAATCATGCTTCAGCCAGGTAGACCGGTTCGTTTGAGCTGAGAAAATGTGTAGGGGGGTCATTTTGTCACTGCTGCGGTGTCTTTCCCCCCCCAGGGAGGATGAGAACAAGCCCAAGGAGAAACCACAGAAGACCGGTGAGTGCCTCCCAGTGCTCCCCGGGCCCAGCAGGTGCCCAGCTGCGGCCACAACAGTGCCCCTAGTCCTATACCCAGGCCCCCGTGGGGTCTTCAGTCGGCCCCCCAGGAACTGGCCCCTGACCATCTGTGGTGCGAGATGCCACCGTGGATGACTCCTGACATCATTCTGCCATGGCCTCTGCTCGCCTGTTGAATTTCTGGGGGAAATATCTTCTCTGGGGAGAGGATTCAAGAACTAAATTCTACATCCCAGGGAAGTGAAGGAAAGTATTGCTGGAGCTGGGAGAGCTGTGCCAGGGACCTCTCCTTCAGGAGAAGTCCCCACCGCCAGGGGGCAGGAGCATTATTCCTGGCTGTGGGCAGCAGAAAAGGAATCTTGAAAAAAAGAAAAGAAAAGAAAAGAAAAGCAATCTTGGAATTTCCACTGTGTTCCTATAACCACTGGGGAGAAGCAGTGCTGCCTGGAGGGATGCTGAGGGGTCCGCCAGCAGGGGGTACAACCGGAGCAACAGTCTGTCTTTGTCGCCTGCCCACAGTGACCATGTGCAGCCCGGAGGAAGAAAGGAAAGGGGAGAAGGTCTACCTGTACACACACCTGAAGCAGCAGCCCATCTGGTAAGGCTGCCCTCGCACCTATGGGGCCATGGCTCCTGACATCTCCATCTCTGTCAGAAACGGAGCTCACTCTGCCCACCAGGGTAACCAGAATAGAAAAGGTGAACCATGGCAGGTGTTGGGGAGGATGTGGAAAAATTGGGACCCTCCTACATTGCCGATGGGGATGGAAAGAGGGCAGCAGCCACACACAACAGTCTGGTGGTTCCCCAAAATGTTAGTGGAGAGTTACCCTGTGACCCAGTAGCTCCGCTCCTACCTAGGTGCTCAAGAGAACTGAGAACAGGTACCCAAGCAAAAACTGATGCATGTAGGTTCCTAATAGCCAAAAGCTGAAAAGAACCTGAATGTCCACAGGCATGGACACGTGATGCATGGACACATAAAATGTGGTATAACCATGCCACACAGTACCCTTCAGCCACATGAGGGAATGAGACCCTGACCGGTGAGTCATGGGTGAGCCTGGAAAACATTTTGCTGAGTGAAAAAACTGGACACGAAAGACGACAATGGTGTATGATGCCATTTAGATGAATCGTTCAGGATAGGTTCGTCCCTAGAGACAGAATAGCTGAGTGCTTGTGGGGCGCTGAGGGAACCAGGGGATGGGGAGGGACTCTTCATGGGGCTTCTTCATGGGGGGATGAAAATGTTTTGGAAGTAGATGGTGGTCATGCTTGCACAACTCTGAATATACTAAAAACCACTGAATCGTATACTTTAAAAGACTGAGTTGATGGTACATGAATTATATCCCAACAACGCTGTTTTATCTGAATGTATAGGAATGAAGGTCATGAGTAAATGAGGGACGGGCGGTCAGGGGACCCTTGCCCTCAATCTCACTCTGTGAATGACCATTTGTGCTGTTTAGGCTTGTGAAGCGTCCCCATCGCCGTGTTGTGTTCACTCCCAAGTAGGCAGAGAGCTGGCGCCTGCAGCCCCAAGGGTGTCAGATATGCCCCTCCCTCGAAGGCCACAGTACGGCCCTTGGAGAACTTGGCTACAGGAAGGGCAGAGCGGGAGTGTGGCCAGGGCGGCCCAGGCGGGGCTGTCCCTAAGCCTGTGTCTGTTTGGAGGCCCCACCTGAGCTGCACCAGGTTCAGCAGAAGCCGGGAGAAGCTACCGGCCGTGTCACCCCTGTCTAGGGCTTCACCTTGGGCCTCCTGGACTGTGACTTGGCCACTGTCTTATCACTTCCCAAAGGGCTTGGCACACTCTTCCTTGAGGGCCCCAGTGATAAAAACTTTCGGCTTTCTGGGCAAGTGCTCAGCTCTGCTTGTGCAAAAGCCACCGTGGACAGTGTGAATGGGTGCGGCTGTGTTCCCGTAAACCCCGGTGTACACAGGCAGCAGGCTGGGTTTGGCCCACGCACCCTGCGTAGTTACAGACCCATGAATTTAAGAATAATGTCTCTTACTTGTGTATCTATGAACGTGTTTGTTTTCTGCATTGTGGCCTGTCTGTGCCAGGTTCCCATTTATGTTACTAGACCCTGTTCTGAGGCAGCAGGTGTCCCCAAACCTCTGGCTTCCTCTGGGAGGCCCAGTGGGGGTGGAGAAGCAGAAGATGGCCTTCATCCACGTCCCAGAGGAGGTGGCTTCAGCTTTGACCAGATGGAGGCGGGACTTAGCCACCTGGCCTCCGTCGTCCTGCCCCCACGTCACTCATGTTGTACCTTCATCCCAGAAGAGATGTGACCCTGGGCCGGAAGCCCGGGGAACTGCCTTGGTTTAGGACAAAGGCACATGCTCGTTTTTCTCTTCTCTACTCTGCCTCTCTGCAACTTGTCCGAAAGCCCTATAGATGTGGTGGGAATCCGTGCGCCCTATCCCTCCAGTGTGCGGAGACCTGCCTCCCCGCCCTCCCTGGAGAGGACTGACACCCGCCTCTGTCCCACAGGCACACGCTGAGGTTCTGGAACGCGGCTTTCTTTGACGCTGTCCACTATGAGAGGAGAAAGCGGTCTCCCACCACCAGGTAGGAGCAGCATCTGGGCCCGCCTTGCCTTGGGGAAGAGGACCGGGGAGTGGCTTTATTTTCTGGTTTCTGCAGAGAAGAGCAGAAGGACGGCTGGGTCAATGCGTCCATGTCTTCTTCAGCACCTTCTGACCCTGGTGCCTGGCACACTGCCTGGAGGGTCCTGGGCACGCATAGCTTCATGGGTGGGGGTCCTCAGCTTGCATGAGCGCTTTCTGTCCTGGCCTCTGGCATGACTTGGCCTGACCCCGCCCCCTACAAAACGCAAACTCCCTCAGAATGAAACCACCAGGAACCCCAAGGAGCCGCTCTGCCTATGGCTGTCAGAGATGAGAATCCTGAGCACAAACCATGCCACAGGACTCTGGGGCACAGGGCTGGCCGCCCCCCCCCCCCCCCGCAGATTCAGCTCAAGAGAGTGAACGTCTGGGGACATGCGATTGCTACATTCAGCTTACTGCTCTGATCCTGCCAGCCTCCCCGAGGGTGGTCTTGCCATATCAGAAGACCCCCTTTGTAAACTGTCACACAAAGCACAGGGTGCCAGTGAGGTCTGGTGGTCCTTCCCGCTCTGGTCATGGCGAGCCAGGGTTGCTGCCTGCTGTGTCTAGTGGCCAGGCAGGAAAGGGCAGCAGCCCTCCCAGTCCTGGGCCCCCTAATTGGCACCCCCTCCCAGTCATGGGACCTTGAAGTCTCTGAGCCTCTCCTTCTCTAATGGGGGGAGACACCCTCAGCCTTTCCACCTGGCAGGAGACAGCAGGTGCCTGCTGTGTATGACCGGTCCATAGCTCTGGGGGGAACTGAAGTGCAGTCCTTCCATTGGGGTGGGGGGGCAGCTGCACCCCAGCAGGGTGGGACGGCCTGCATCTCCTGGGGGAGGCAGAGAGAGCACACAGTGGGGAAGATGCTGAACCAGTCCCGGGGATTCTAGTGAGAGAATCCCACACTCTGCCAGGAAACCAGACTGAGGGAGCGCTTAGATGCTTGTAGGCGAATGGGGTTTCCTCCTGCTGCTTCTGTAGCTGTCGGGCTCCCAGCAGATAAATGGTCTCGAGTACCCCGTCTCTCTCCGTCTCTCTGTTTCTGCCTGTAATAATGCTCCTCTCTCGCTGTTCTCTTTTTTCCATCCACATATCTTGCATGACTTTGACATGTTCCTCTGTTTACCTGTTTCTGCTGCCGCTCCAGAGGGGATGCTGGAGAGGAGGAGAAGAAGAGGTGTGTGTCCACGTGACTTTGTTGATGTTACAGTGCCGGGGGTCCCCGCCAGGGCCACCTCAGGGCGGGAGCCGTGCACTAGCTGCTGCAGGGGCAGAGCCCAGACACTGGGGCAGGCCCCTCCCTGGGACAGGCTGGTGACGGGTGGGGGCTCACTGAGGACAGAGCACCAGGAACAGGAAGCAAATAGGGCATCCAAGACTCCGCAAGACCCAGTGTGAGTTCAGAGAGCAAGCAGCAGGGTCCGATGTTGAGCAACTCAAGCCTTCCCCTGGCTGCTCCAGCCCCTCCTAGGCAGGCCCCCAACCCACCCCCTTGACTTTACCCTTGGTAATCCCGTCGCAGCCTGGAGCTGTGGGTGGGTACAGAGGATCTGCCTCTCTGCAGCCAGGCTCAGAGGTGAGCAGGGGTCTGGCAGGCCCTCCCCTGCCCCAGCCAGGCTTGGGAAGGGGTCCCCTCCCTCCCAGCCACTGTGTGGTGGGGAGCCTGTGTGTGCGTGTATGTGTGAGGGGGAGGGTCCCCTGAAGAGAACGGCCTAGAACGGGGCTGGCTTGTTTTTTCCAGCCCACGGTGGAGTCCAACCCTAATCGTTCGACCTTCGTATTTGTTAGATATCTTTTGTAATATATTTTTGGAGTTAAGGACCTGCCTATTCAAAATACAGTTTCTGATACAAGGATTGTTTCTTCGCTGGACGTTTCCCAAAGCACGCTTCCTTTAATCAGTGATGTATTTTTAGTGCTTATTGTTTATGAGAAATCTTGCTTCTTATGCAGCGTTATTATGGCTATAAAAGGAGCATGTAGGCATAATGGACACCCCCCCCCTTAGTACAAAGCCCCTGCGTCCCCACAGTCTCTCTGGGTGGGAGTGTGACTCACCGCGGCCTCCCAGGGGCAGAGTTGCTTAGCACCTCTGCTGAGGCACAGAACTGGAGCATCGCGGCCGCCTCTGAGCCCACCAGGGGGCACCGGCCCCTGGGCCTCACGGGCTATGCCACCCAGAGCAGACGTGGTCTGACCACGTCTTGGACCTGCCCCCCACCCAGACACCCACACATGCCCTGGGCCTCACCCGGAAGAAGAGCATGTGTTCTCTTGGTGCGGTGGGAGGTGGGCTCTGGGTCCCCGGGGAGCCTCATGCCTCCAGCATCACATCTCCTCTAAAGTAAACTCAGCCGATGATACTCAGAGGCAGAAAGGCTTCCACTTCCAAAGGCATCTGTGGCCCACATCTGGATTCCCGGTGTGGCAGTTTTGACACAATGTCCTGCCCTCTGTGGCACTAGACCTTGACCGGGATTGTATATTGATCTCAGTTTTAGGGAATTGATTTGATTGCAGACAGCACCTGATCCACTGATTGCTAATGACCTTGCATCTCTTTCTTCAGAGGCCAGGTTAAATGCCCCACTTCTAGTCCTTGCCACAGCAAACAGAATGACTTTCTCATCCAGGTCAGGAGGGTCAGGCTGTTGGGTCATTCCTACATGATGTGGGGTTGTGCACTGCACAACCTATGAAACTGTACACTGCAGGCCTGATGTGGTATGAGGATTGATGTGCCTGGATGATCCTGAGGGTAACCGCGGGGGGAACGAGGGATGGGATGAGCATCATGCCTGGAAGCATATCTGGGTATCTTCTCGGGTATCCTGTTGTCGGCGAGAGGAGGCTGGGAGTGACACCTGCCCTCACGGCTATCATGCTCCTGACGTCCTACGGCCTCCTGCTAAGCCATGGCCACTTGAGTGGCCCTGGGCCTGGGGATGGGGAGGAGTTAAGATTTTCTGTTCTTGGTTCTCTCTTCCTTTGGCTTCTCCATTGCCCCTACCCCTCGCCCCCTCACTCTCTCACTCCGCCTCTCCTCTCCCTCATCTTTTCTCTCTCTCCCAACCTTGTTTCATCAGACTCATCACCCAGAGCTTAGTTATTAAGGGGGAAATGGGCTTACATGAGCATCTCCTCCATATCCGCATCTGGCCCTGCGGGGAGCTTCTCAGGTAGACACGGAGGCTCTCATCCCCTCAGGGCAGGGCGTGGAGCCGAGCAGAAGCAGGACGATCCCCAGTCCACTTGAGATGGGGGTGCTGTGCCAGAGGAGGGGGAGACCGCACCCTGCAGCGAGCTGTTGGAGACGGCTGGCTTTCAGTCAGGACACGGAGCTCATACTCGGAGAGCACCCCCCAGCCCACGGCCTGTGCGCTCACATGTTCCACCACAGAGAGTGGACAGAGTCAGGCTTCAGAGCCCACCCGTGCGGCCACACACAGGCTGCGCTTCTTTCTCATTGGGGTTTCTGCGCTCTGTGCTAGAGGCTTTGTGGCGTCTTCATGGGGGGGATGGTTCACGGGGGCCTTGGGATCGAGGTCTCATCTGTGTGCTCTGGGAGCTCCGTGGAGCATAAACCTTACCTATGAGGAAGCCGGGCCCGGGACATGCAGCAGAGCCAAGACCCCACCTGGCAGGATGGTGTGGCCCTCAGCACGTCCAACCTCCCCAACACCCTGGGCCTCCCGGCCACGAGAGGCTATGTACACCCCCCACCCCAAAGAGCCAGTGAGGCCTGCAGATGTAGCCCCAGCCTGAGGGCTTCCTGGACGGGTTCTCAGCACCCACTTCCTTGGGACGCCAGCAGGACCCTCTCTGCAGGTCTTTCTGCCTTTCCGATCACACCAGGACCTCCCATCCTGGAGCCATAGAGAAGGACATGGGGGTGGAGTGTTCTTTTCTCCTAGAGAACATTCTGGGCAACTACAAACCACACATCATCTCTGGGTCAGTAGGAAGCGTATCAGCTTTGGGATCTCCTCATCTCAGGAAGGCTGAAGTGATTGAGTTTAGGCAGAGTGTCAGAACCCTGGGCAGGCTTTGCGTAAATGCAGATCAAACAGCTCTGCAGGGGAGGCGCTCCCCACTCCGTGTCAGGGAGGCCACATTGGGTGCCCCCTGTAGATCAGAGCAGGGGGGCAAGAGGCGGGGGACACAACGGCATTCTGGAACCTTCTCCTCTCACCTGTGCTTGCAGGGAGAAGTGGTGCCACATGACCCAGGAGGAGCGCAATGACAGTCTGCGGTTCAATGAGAACATCACCTTCGGGCAGCTGGGGTAAGGGCATGGACGACAACACCTTGGGGGCTCCTGGGGACCCCAACTGAGTGGGGCAGGGTGGGGCCAAGCCTGGGCTTTTCTCCTGCTGGAAGGCCCATTCTCATGGCCAATCACCCACAGAGGGGGAGGCAGGGCAGAGGGGGGCAGTGATGCCCGGATGCGGTGATGAGAGGCCCCCGGAGGAGACGTTCCCACTTGGGGGGGCATTGCAGAGGGGGCTCCGACCCTGACGGTGTCACACATACTTGACACAATGTCATTATAATGTGTATTCTCACACGGCTCAGAAGCCCATTATTACTGATGTTAGACCTGGCTTCTCGTTCCTGATGACCGCCTGGTGGCGGGCAGTTGTGCCGTGAGATGGTGGCTGGCTGACGAGGCTGCTGTTCGTTTTACACTAACAGTTCCAGGCAGGGCTGCATGGGGGGCCCTTGGCTCCCCCTCCCCAGGGAGCAGGAAGGGCGCTAGCTCACGGGTGTCTTTTCCTCCAGCACGTTCACTCACAACATGCTGGCATTCGGGCTGAACAAGAAGCTGTGTAATGACTTCCTGAAAAAGCAGGCCGTGATCGGCAATCTGGATGAAGGTGAGCGGTGGCCAGAGGCGGGCGGGTCTCGGGGTTTAGGAAGCGATGCTCTGCATTCTGGAATGCCCCACCCTGCTAAAGGGATCACTACTGTTTTAATTAGAAACATGATGTTGAACTATGGGGCAGGTTCTCCCCTTCTCTCGTCCCGTCTACCTAAACGCACAGAACACTTGTCATTGTATTTGGAAGTCTGTTTCTGCTAGGTAGTATTTGCCAGGGGTGGGGGATTGGTGAGCTGGGGTGGGAGAGCTTATCAGCCCAGTGTTTATATATGGGGCCTAGGGTAAAGATAGAACTGGGTGCTCAGACTCTGATCTTGAAAATGGTCAAGCTCCCACCATGAGCTTCCTTCTAAATGTCCACCATATGCCTACCTTTGTTTCTTGAGCCACACAGGTATGAGGGGCAGGGGAGAAGGAGGAGGAGAGGGGCAACGTGAGGTTTCTCTAGTATCTCTAACTTCTTTTTTTTTTAAGATTTTATTTATTCATGAGAGGGACAGAGAGAGAGAGAGAGAGAGGCAGAGACGTAGGCAGAGGGAAGCAGGCTCCCTGCAAGGAGCCCAATGTGGGACTTCACCCAGAACCCCGGGATCACGCCATGAGCCGAAAGCAGATACTCAACCACTGAACCACCCAGGCATTCCTAGGATCTCTGACTTTTTTAACAAAAGAGGATACAGAAAAAAAAAAAGGATACGTTAATATCCGCACCCCAATCTGCTATTGGAGCCAACTTTTATGGGACATCCCACCACCTGCTGCAAAACAGTTTTCCTTCATGGCCTAAAAAGTCTTCCACTTAAAAATACATTTGGATTGACACAGTATTCTTAAAAAAAAAAAAAAAAAAAAAAAAAAAAAACCTCCATTTGGGGCACCTCGGTGGCCCAGTGGGTTAAGTGGCTGACTCTTGGTGGTTTCGGCTCAGGTCAGGATCTCAGGGTCTTGAGATCAAATCTCTGCATCAGGCTCGGTACTCAGTGGGGAATCTGTTTGAGATTCTCTCTCCCTCTGCTCCTCCCAATCCCTCCTCACGTTCTCTCTCTCTCTCATAGAAATATTTTTTAAAAGCCCTCCGTCCTGCACCAAATTAGAGGGGACCACAGCAGAGTAGCCTCAGGAGGCAGGAGAATGCTCCATGCTTCCCTGGGAAATAGCAGAATGTTGTCATCAGCCCCACAGTACCAGTCAAGAACATTGTCCCCTTGCCCCTATGCCCCTGTGCATAGGACTCAGGCCTGGCTCCCATGGCACAGTTCATCGACTGGCACTATGCCTTCCCTGGCCTTCACGTCATCTCCATAACCAGATGCATCCCATTTCTGAGAGACCACTTCCAGGTGCCAGGCGTGCAGTGTGCTGGTGGCTACGGGCTCTGTGTCACTGCAAATCTTCAGAAGCCTGTACTCACCACTCCTGGTGAGGTCCTGCTGAGTGAATGCAAAGAGCAGGACCCACCTGCTGGTGTCGACATCTTTCTTCCAAGAATTAATATCATTTTCCTTTCCAGAGCAATACAAGCTGCTGAGCGACCACATTGAGCAGATGGCCACTGAGTAGGCCGTGGGAGGTCGCCCAGAGTACCCTCCAGGAGGACTGAGGGTACACACCCCTTTCCTGGGCCAGCGACTGGCTGTCACCCCACCTGATGACCCTGCATGACATCGGCAGCACCCAGAGCCACTCCACGCTGCCCTAGAACTAGCAGTTAGAAGAATCCGGTTGCCTGTCTCCCCACCTCCCTTTTGCCTTGTCTGCTCCCCCCATCTGCGTGCCAAAGGGTCCCTGGGATTACATGGCTAAAACCAAGGTGACTGCCCGTACTCCTGAGTGTCAGGCCTGTGACATAAGACAAAGCAGGAGGAGGAGGAAGGAGAGCAGGGCCGAGGCAGACACAGGGCAGCGCCTGCTGCAGCCTCCTGAGAAGGAGAGAGGGAGAGGGTGGGGTGCACATGGGGATGCAGATGGAGACACCATGAGCTGGCCCACTCCAGAGACATGGGGCAGGCCCTGCTGATAGTCTGGGACGTTCTTCTTCAGCAGTGGGATGGAGTAGGGGTACGCCCACAGTCAGGGCCCCCAGGGCAGGCTGGGTCAGTCCGTGGCTTCGGCTGGCTCTGTGCCAGCTCCCCACCCTGAGACAGGAACTGGAGTCACTGAAACTGCTGGGAGGAAGGAGACACTTCCGATTTTAGGGAGGGGAAAGAGCTCGGTGCTGGGGACCTCCTTCCCTGGCTGCAGAAGGGCCCAGTCAGGGGGGTGAGCGCCCCGGAGACCTGGCAGGATCTGAGCGGCTGCTTTAGAATCACACCAGCACCAAGGTGTCGGTGTCAGACCACCCGAAATGTGCCTGGTCCACTGACAGCTTCCTTCTGAAGCAGAGAGAGTCCTGCCACTCTCCCTGGGAGTAGCATGGGCTGTCTGCCCCATGAAGCAGCATTGGAAAGAGAAGTTTTTTCAGTAGTTGCAAGGCAACCACCCTTTTTAAAAGCAGACACTGCTGTCCTGTATTTCAAGGAAGACAGGAAAATCTGTCCGTGTGACAGGCAGCCGGGCAGAGGCAGCTTCTGGTGGCACCTGTGTGAGGCTCGTTAGTGGAGCAGCCGTGCGCCGTCCACCCCCGGCAGCCTTGGGAAGGCGCCTTCCCCTCCCTCCTTGGCCCACGCAGGTTGACCTCTTTCCTGCAGGCTCTGCAGACAACCCCCGCCGTCCTACATCAGGTGCCTGGGAACCCTGGCTTTTCTCCCTCGGTTTGTACCGGGCACCGCTGACCAGCCCCAGGACTGACGTGTGACGGCAAGCATCCAGCATGCAGCTCCCCTGGTGTGAATATTTCCCGTCAGTCTGGTTCCCTCTGCCTTGGCGCCTTGCCCTTGGGCTCTACCTTTCCCGACATCCTCCCCTCCCATTCCCTTCTCTACCTCCTCGCCTCTCGGTCATCACATTATGGTCTCCTCTTGAGCACAACAAACCATGCCTGGTCGTTGTTACCCGGCCAGTGCTGGAGCGCTTTCCCTCATGGAATGCCTCCCTGGAACGTTCCAGAGGCGAGCATGCACCAACTGAGCTGTAGCACACGTGTCTTGGTGAGGATGAGAGAGGCGACGTGAAGCATGGTGTGATCTGAGCGTGCAGCTGTGCAGCTTTGCCAGCCAAAGGCTGGATCCTGAAGCTCTGCTTGTTTTTATGATGGTGTCTTGTACGTGTGTGCACGTGTGTGCATGTGTTTTGGGAGGCAGTCAGCCTGTCTGGCAATGTCACCAAATAAAGCACAGCCGTATTGCTGGGTCAGGTCCCACAAACAGGAGGTCCCCCCAATTCCATGGCCAGTGTTGGGCCCCAGGGATAGCATATGTCTCTACTGAATGCATTTCAAAGAAATAAGGTCAAATTAACAGGTATATGGACCCCTCCTTCAAATAATGCATCCCCTCCTAAAAGACTCAGCCATGACCCAGACTCCGTCATGCTCCGCTCCCCGTCTGTAGAATCAGGGCCACACAGGGGGTCTGTCCGAGGCCCCCACTGGGGTCTCCCCTTAGCTGCAGTGTCGTTGGCTTTGTCATTTCTTATTCTTTGGTTGAAATGCGTTAGGACTTTACTGTAAGGTGCCCAAAAGACTTATCCTTGTGTATGTGAGGTATTTGTATAGAAGTTTGGTTCTACTTTCTGGAGAGAGCCAAGTGGGTCCTGAGGTCCATTCCCCCAGGGAGGGGCCTGCAAGACCTCGCGGGCTTTGGAAAGAAGCATAGCTGTAACTTCTTTTGGCTTTTTCAAGCACTTTAACTTCAAAAATGAACTTGAGACTTTTATTCCCCATGTAGGCCTCTTGAAATAGCAGTTAAAGGTGGAAGCAAGGGCCACTTTGGGTTTTCTCCCCTCCCGCTCCTTGTTCTTTTGGATCTGGCTGGGAAGAGCGGGGTTGGTCAGCCGCCGGCTGCTGCCAGAAACGTGAGCCCTCCTCAGAGGGCTTGATGATGGCTTGCCGTCTCCTGGTGGCAGCCTTAGAGTGCCTCTGGCCAGTGTCACCTGGAGGAGTACCAACCCTAGAAAGAAGGCTGGCAGCTTGCTCTGCTATTTCCCTCTGTCCTTGTAACACTGTCTCTTCCCTCGGGGGCCTGGCTGGAGCAGACACAGGACAGTCTCAGAGATCCTAGCATGTGGAGAGGTGCCACCCTGGTGTACACACAGGGACACTTTGGTGTGAAAGCCCCTCTAGCCCTTCCTGTAAACTCAGGAACCAGAGACTCAGTGCAGGAAGGGTCAGATCATATCCTAGAAGAGAGTTTCCCATCCCAGCAGGTAGGGTGTCTGAAGCCGGGAGCTCTGAAGGCTCACCCTGATGCAGTGGCATTTCAGGTTTTCTGCTGCCTTTCCTCTGGGGCTGTGTGAATCACAGTGAGCCAGGACAGCCAGTCCTCTCAAATAAAAAGTTCCCTGCACGGAAAACAGGATGATGTTGAGATGCAGCTTTTGGAGGAGGGGTCAGGGTGGTGCTGAGGGAGACAGGGAAGGAGAATCCCAAGCAGGCCCCACGCCCAGTGCAGAGCCCGACACGGGGCTCCATCTCATGACCCTGAGATCACGACCTGAGCCAAAATCAAGAGTCAGATGCTTAATGGACTGAGCCACCCAGGTGCCCCACGATGCAGTTTGGTATGTGTTGAACGTTTGTTTTAATTTTAGCAATATTGGTAGATGTGTAAGAGAGGCCACGTTGATATTCAGATTGCATCTGCTGTATGTGTGTGCATGTGTTTAACCAAAGGAGGAGAACCGGATTCTGATACTCTGAGTTATTTGTACAGTGAAATGGAGTGATCTGTGATTTTCCTGTTGCCAAAAAGGGGGGGGGGGGAGATGCTAAGAAGCTCCTACATTACCAAAAGGAGGACCAGAAAGTGCCCATGTCCTGAGTTCTGCACCCAAATTAAAACCTAGCATGTTCAGGTTAGCTGGTGAGCCCACCCAGGCAGAGGTGGACAGTTAACTTGTCCCACGGAGCACCTGGTATTCCAGACTCCTGATGTGGGAAGCGCAGCGCGGATGCCAAGAAGAAGTTTGTGTGAGGCTCCATCTCGCCCCGGTGACCACGCCTGCCAGTCAGGGCCGCAAGCTGCAGGCCTGACCTTCCTGTGCACCGCGGCAGCCTGACGGTTGGCTTGTATTTGGGGAGGATCTAGGTGGACCTGTGAGGTTGGATCAATTTATTACCAGATTACCTAAAACTGCAAACATGTGGCAACTGAGTGGGGGCAGCCGAATCCTTTGCCTGGCACAGTGGAGAAGCTTGGGAAGGATGGTCTGTCATCCAGAGGGAGGGGGCAGGAGTGGGGAGCCAGGCCAGCCCCAGCCTTGGGGGAGGTGGGTAGAGTGCTCAAGCCAGGCCAGGCTGCATCCTTCTCTCCCCATGTTTAGTCATCGACCAACCTGTGGGGTGGAGCTCCCTCCTGTCCCCAGCACCCCCGGCCTTGTAGTCCTGAACCATTGCTCCCATGTCTCTGCTGCCTCCTCCCAGCCTCCCTGTACATCATTTTTCCCTTTAGGACTCTCAGCGATCAGTTTCACCAAAAAGGGAATTGTACTGGCTAGAAGCGCCCCAATTGAATAATGTGCATGGTTCAGACCACGGGCAAGGCCACCCAGGCCATGTGTCCCATACGTCCTAGTCATCATGGGGCTGGGAATAGGGGTGTGTTGGTCACCAAATAATAGGTGGAGGAGTGGTTCTCATATTCACATTCAGTAAATGCACTCGATGCTAAGGCTGTCCTCCATGGGGGGGCTCCAGTGGGGCCTCATCAGTGCCCCTCGTTTTCCCTGGGCCCGAGAGTCTCATACTCCTCGTGAGGACTGGCATGTTCTGTTCCCTGGGTGCTGGCCTGTTTTCCTGAGTCGACCAGAGCCCAGCATGGAACCCCACCCCAACTGTGTTCAGGGGACTCACATGTCTCCAGGATTCAAGTGGGGCTGCACTCTCCATGTCGGGGCTCTTGGTGACTCATGGGAAGGGATAAACTAATCATTTCTAGAAGAGCGTCAGGATGGTCTGGGTTTGCCCGTCTTCCCATTACTTCCACACACACCTGCCGCCGGGTGTCGGGAGCTGGGAGAGAACTGGGATCCTCACCTAATCCACAGACTCCAAGGCTACCAGGCAGAGTCAGAGCAGAGCCTGCCACCGCCACCACCACCACCACACCACCACCACCGGAAGCCCTCCTGGGCTGCACTGGGAGTGGTTTGCACTTTAGGTAAAAGGGACCGCCTCTTGGTAAATCCCTTTTGACCCGGGGGTCAATCCCAGAATTGGGGGGGGCTGTACCTCTTTCCTCCTCAGGCCCCGGATGTGTGTTCGTGAAAACAGGGGAAGGCACTGCGGGCACCCTCCCCACATGTCAGCTCTCACGGGGTGGGGTCCTGACCCCTTCTGTGCTGCAGGCAGGGTGGGTTAGCTCCCTCTGCCCGCGAGGTCGCCAGCAAGCTGGGGCTGTCACTTCTGTGAGGCGCCTTGAAGAAGACAAGCCAAACCTTTGAACATTAGGAAATGCTAGAAATTCAGACAAGAGACATATGTCCCCTTAAAATATGTAAATGTGCTAGAATAAGGTCAGTCTGCCGCCTTTGTTATAAAAACCGTGGCCTCCCCTGGGGCCTTGGGTAATGGTTTACACGTGTGCATTGTGCTGTTTTCTCCCTCGGCCAGCTGGTCGTGGACCCGAACTTGCCATTGCCACACCCAGACCTTGCCCTTAGGAGCCCCCAAAGTAGAGTTACGACGCCGGTGTTGTTGGTGTGACAATTACGCAATCCTGTCCCGCTAGGTGTTATCCTACGAACAGTATTTTAAGGCTGAGGAGGTTTCAAGGTGGAAGATCTCAGAAAAGTGCTAAAATCAAAACTGTTTTCCTGTGAAGAAAAAAATGTATGTCTCTATATTGCACCTCAGATTGTCAGAAGGTGGAAACTTAAATACATTATCTTTAAAAAAAAAAAAAAGCTGGTCTGTTTCATTTTTGTGTTCACGTATCCATAAGGACTTCTCACAGAATTGGCAATCTTCTCAGTGACGTAAGCGGGTTTTCAGAAGAAAGCTTTGGTTTTGTTTTGTTTTTTTTTTTGTTTTTCTGGGGCCAAATAGAGGCTTTTGCCATTTAGGCTGAGCATGAGGGTCTTGTCGAGATGGGTGTGCGTCTCGTGGAAGCACGCGGAGGAGGAGGAGGAAGAGGAGGAGGAGGAGGGGGGCCCCTCCAAGGGGCAGCCTGGCCTGCACGGGGGTCTGTGTTGGTGGAGTGGCCCCCGGGGACTGGTCCTCAGCCCGGGCCCCCAGATCCCTGCAACCCCTTCCTGCTGGAGTCCTCGCCTGCTCTTCCCCTGAGCCCTCTGAGCCCAGGCCGCATCCCTCCTGTGTTTGGGGGGCTCAGGGTGAGGGCTGTAGGTGGAACCCAGTTGCATCTCCTACCTGACCGAGGTGGGGTGCCTTTACCGGTCCTTTCCGGTGGGGTTTGACAGGCGTGCTCTGTGAGATGGTGCTCTTTCTCATTTTCTGATTATAAGAAGTCGGTAGGCACGTGCTAAATCTCTGGCCTAAAGGGCTGAGGGAGGTGAATCTGAGGAGCAGTGAAGGGCCCGGGAAAGGGCGAGGGGGGTCCCGGGGGCAGGGTGGGGTATGCTCCCTGGGGTGCCTGGCCTCCATGCCCCCGGTTCTCCCACCCAGTCTGGAGAATACCAGCCCCTCTTTGGCAAATGTAGAAGGACTGACTGGGCGGTGGATGCTCCCATCCCCAGGCTGTCACATCTGACTCATCCTCTGGTGCTCCGGGGACTCCACCAGCAGCGGCAGGCCAACCGACGGTGGGGTTCGGAGGCAACTATGTGGAAGGAGAAGGATCCCCTTAGGGCAACAGGGACCCAGAAGACCATGGGGCAGGTTAGCCCCAGGAAAGAGGCCAGGTCCCGTTCCACCCCCCACCCCACCCCCACCCCCAACTACCAAATCATTCCTCGAGTCTCATTTTTACGTCTGTAAAATGAGAAGGAACTTAACCACCTGCCCTGGGTGGTCCTGCGAGAACCAAACGTGGCATACACAGACCACAGAGCTCCCACCTACAAAAGGCAGAAAAAAAAAAAAAAAGACCAGACTTTTCTGTCTAAATTTTACAGGAATACATTTAAAACACCTTACTCGGGATCCCTGGGTGGCGCAGCGGTTTGGCGCCTGCCTTTGGCCCAGGGCGCGATCCTGGAGACCCGGGATCGAATCCCACGTCGGGCTCCCGGCGCATGGAGCCTGCTTCTCCCTCTGCCTGTGTCTCTGCCTCTCTCTCTCTCTCTCTGTGACTATCATAAATAAATTAAAAAAAAAAAAAAACACCTTACTCAAAATTCAAAACTCACAAAAACTCAATTTAAAACTTAAACAGTGTGGGGATCCCTGGGTGGCTCGCCAGTTTGGCGCCTGCCTTTGGCCCCAGGGCGCGATCCCGGGGTCCTGGGGTCGGGTCCTGCATAGGGCTCCCGGCATGGGGCCTGCTTCTCCCTCTGCCTGTGTCTCTGCCTCCCTCTCGCTCTGTGTGTGTGTCTCTCATGAATAAATAAATAAATAAAATCTTAAAAAAACAAAACAAAAAACAGTGAAGCCTTCGATGGTGTTTCTCTCTAGGTTGTAACCTTCCTCCCTCTGACCGTATCGAAGCGTTGAGGGAACACCCCACTGTTTTCTGGACAGGATACTGCCAAACTGATGAGTCGCTTAGCAAAGCCAACCAGATCATCTGATTTGTCCGGTTGGATTTTTGTGTTTTGATAGAAGCATTTGTGTGCCTCACCCTCCAGCGACGGCCACTGTCTGCCTTCTCTGCCGAGGTGTCTGTTCAGACCGCTACCTGTTTTGGATGGGCTGGCTTGTCTTCTTATTGACCTACGAGAGTTCCTTGTATGTTTTGAATACAAATCCTTGGTCGATAGGGGTTTTGCAAATATTTTCTCCCAGTCTAAGTCTCGTTCTCTGGTTCCCTGAACAAAGTCTTCCAGGGAGTAGGAGGCTTAATTTTATAAAGTACGCGTTACCGATTTGTGCGTGTGTGTGGATAGTCTTTGGGGGTCTTGTGTTAAAACTCATCCCCAAACCCAAGGTTATGTAGATTGTCTTTTGTATTTATTCTACAGTGGTTATAGATTTGCATCTGAAATTCATCTCTGGACAGTTTTGTGTGAATTTTGGTGTACATTGTGAAGTTTGTAGCTGCATTCATTTCAGTCCATATGGTTTCTGGTTAATTGTCCCTTAACTATCTTTGGATAAGACATGGGATATTTGGCTCCGTTTGGTTTGAATTTCAACACTTGGAGGATTCCACAGGCCAGCCGGTGGCTGCTAACTATGGCTGGTGACCCTGGCACCACAGCACCACAGATGCTCCCGCTCCCCAAAATCCTGCTCCTCTGAAGCAGCAGCTCCCATCTTCCTGTGCTTGGACGAGGCTCCCCCTCACCAGGTCATCGGTCCTGACCAGGGAGTGGTGTCGGGTGCTTTCTCTGTCCTGCGCAGACACCTGCACAAGTCGCTCTGACCAGCAGCAGGTGAGCTCGCCCTCAGGGAAGAGGGGAGAGATAGCCAAGCATACACAGGGAGAGGGATCATCCCAATCTGCTGGTCCAGAGAGCCCCCCAAAAGTCACGCTCCTTCCACCCCTGTCCATCCCACCGCCCACCTCTGCCTCCGGGGCCCCAGAAGAGAGAAGCTCTGAATCTTTCTGCTGCTTCCCAAGTGTCCATCTGCAGAGATGGTGGCAAGGAAGGCGCTGGCTGAGTCCAACCCTGGAGTTAAGAAGCATTGGTCCGTTTGGTGCGCTGGGGTCAGAGCAGGAAGGGATGGGCACCTACTGTGTGCCGGGTGCCACCAGGCTGCAGGACCGCCAGGTGAATAGTGAGGCTGTTTTTCTCTAGAAACTGTCAGTATGGTTGGGACACAGCTGAGGTTGAAGAAGATGTGCATTTGTGCATGTGTGTGCCTGTTTGTGTGCACACACATATGCATGTAAAAGTAGGAGATACGACATGGCGTAAAATGTGATGACGTGTAATATGCAATACAATCTATATGTTTTATAAATCATTATGTAGAAGATACAGAACATTTTTTTAAAGATTTTGTTTATTTATTTGACAGAGGAGAGAGAGCAGAAGCAGGGGGAGCAGGAGCAGGAGAAGCAGGCTCCCCACTGAACAGGGAACCTAGTGTGGGGCTTGACCCCCAGGCCCCAGGATCATGACCTGAGCCAAAGGCAGACACTTAACCTGAGCCACCCAGGTGCCCCAAATATAGAATGTTTTCATTACTTTTGGAATGGGTGTTGCCCCTGGTAGAATCAGGGTGGGCTTCCCCAAGGATGTGCCACGGAGCTGGATTTGGTGACTAAGAGTCACTGTGATGAGGATGTTAATCCTGCAATGATCCCATGAAGGTTTCGTGTTCTGTACTGTGTCAATATGAAAATCACAGTCTCACCCCCTTCCTTCACCTTCATCAACCCTCCATCCCCCTAGACCTCTGTGATGTGTCCTTGGTCCCAAGGTTATCCCTGCACATCATGTCCACGTGTTAGGGGTGACTCACATCCCCCCAAAACTCATATGTTGACATAACTCCCAGTGCCTCAGAATGTGGCCTTATTTGGAAATAGAATCTTTGTAGATATAATTAGTTAGGGTGAGGTCACACTGGGTAGGGTGGATCCGTACTCCAATAAGACTGGTGTCTGTATAAAAAGAGGGAATTTGGACAAACACACACACACACACACACACACACACACGCAGAGAATGCCATGTGGGGATGCAGACCAAGATCAGAGTGCCGCGTCTCCAAGCCAGGGGACGCCAAAGATGGCCAGCAGGTGCCGAAGGCCGGGGGGAGGCCTGGAGCAGATCCTCCCTCCGTCAGGAGCAGCCCACCCTGCCTGCTTCTAGATTGGGGACTGCAGGCCTCCCAGCTGTGGGAGAGTAAATTCCTGTTGTTTGAGCCTCCAGCTTGCGGTGCTTTGTTACAGCAGCCCTGGGAGACTAATCCACCCTCTTCACAGCATTAGCAGAGGTTTAACCCCTCGAGTCCCCAGGTCATAAGCTGCGAAATGAGACCCAGTACGACTCAGGTTACGATGCACCCCACGTTTATTGAGCACCTATGAGGCACCAGGCACCATGCTAAGCCCATGGATCCCCAGAGTGACCTGTGAGGTGAGCGAGATTGCCCCTGTTGTGCAGACGAGGAAACAGGCTCAGAGGACATGAGACTCACCTGGGGGTGGGGGGATGCAGCAGAGCCCCCAGCCCACCCCCAGCCCCCATGTTTCAGACTGGGGAGCTCTGGCCCTATGGATGGGGCGTCTGCCCCTGCCCCGTGAGGTCCTCCACGGGGTCCTCCTCCGCAGAGTGGTCCGTGCTCTCCTCCTCGTCTCCCCTCTGGCTCTGTATGGCCATCTGAGTGCTCTGAATGACACAGCAATAGCATCAGTAATTACGGGGGCGGCGACAAGTGTCTGCAGTTTCTAAGAGCTTCCTGGAGATTGGTTCACCTAGTACTCCCCACAGCCCTGCAGGCGAGGGGGGCACTGCTATTAGCCTTACTTTGCGAGGGAGGAGTCTGAGGCACAGACAGGTTAAGGAGCAGTGGGTTCGGACCCAGGTGGCCTAGCTGGGGGCCATGCTGGCTTCACTGCCTAGAGGATTATTCAGGAAGCCTGCCCCCTCCACTGTGGGGTGAGGCTCCCCCTTGCCCCCTACTCAGTGACTAAACCTCTTCTGATGGGCGTGAGGCTGCTTGGAGTCTTTGTCTCATTTGGTTGAGACTCAGAGTCCTGCAGGAATACGGATGTGCTTTGCTGAGCTCCTAGGATACCATGTACCATATGACTTTCCTAAAATATGAGAAATTCAGACTTTTGAAACCTATGAGCCCATGGGCTAGGAACTAGGAATGACCTGCCCAGAGCCCCTGCTTCTCAGTGGACACACTTCAGGATGCCTCCGGGGGGCTCTCAGGACACGCAGTGGCTGCCTCGTGCTGGGCTCTGAGCTACAGATCACCGGCTCGGACTGGCCGGTCCAGGTAGGACCCCGGGGCAGGACTCCACACTCCCCGAGCAGAACCTCGTGGAAATCCCTGCTCTCAGATGGCCTCCCCCTCGTCACAGGATGAACACTCCCAGCCCCAGTGCTCACCTGGCCAGTGAGAGACCACGGGACAGCTGGGACAGACCACGGGACAGTTGGGGAGGGGGTGGTATCCTTGAGTGGCCGGGCATCGTGATGTCCATAAACCCCATGCGTCTTGGCTCTAAAATCCTGCCACGGAGAGACCAGGGCCAGCTGTTTCCAATCAGGAAAGAAAGGAAGGGGTGTGGGGAGGAAGGAGGGGACGGAGGCGATGCACAGCGGGCACTCCCAGAACCCCGACCTGGCCCAGGTCCTGTCTGGGAGCTTCCTGCGATCTACACTAGCCCGCTAAGTGGGCATCAGCATCCCATTTCATAGACGGGGAAACAGGCCTAGGGAGCCTAGGTAACACATCCATAGTCACACAGGAAAATTAGAGATTGCTCTTGCCCCTAAAAGAATATCGTAGAGATAAGTGGGCACACCAGAGCCTATCTGGTCTGCATTTAACCTCATACGGTGGTTTTAAAGCTTACCCACAAGCTGGAATACAGTTCCCTTCCCCTTGAATACATCCTTAGTGACTGACTCACTTCGAAGGCCTGGACTGCGGCCGAAACGACGCTAAATTACCTCTAAGATTAGGTTATAAAAGGTGATACGTTTTCTACCTGCCTCTGTCACAGGATACTGGCTTTATTTTTTTATTTTTAAAATATTTTGAGAAGCGGGGGAGGGGCAGAGGGGGAGAGAGAATCTGAACCCCCGCCACAGGGTTCGACCTCACAACCCTGAGACCCTGACCTGAGCTGAAACCAAGAATCAGACACATAACCCACCGTGGGGCGCCCCAGGATGCTCGCTCTAGACCAGCTGTGGTGCTGCGAGGAAGCCCCCCGCCACCTGGAGAGGCCTCGGGCAGGCAGGCCTTCAGGCTGCAGACCCCTGAGGAGCCAGGCAGGGCGGGCTTTGTGGCCCGAGCTCGGAAGAACCCCGTATTTGGTCTAACCCTCTGCTCTCACTGTCTTGCAATTCGTTGAACAGAATTGGGCCGACGTTTCCATTTTGCACTGAACCCTGCAGACCCAGAGGCCCGTCCTGAACCCAGAAAGCAGCCATCACCCGCCAGGCGCGGGGGAGGAAGCCTCATACATGACTCCAGCCCCAGCTGCCAACTGAACACCAGGAAAGACCCATGAAAGAGCATCCAGCGGAGCCACCGACCCCGAACCAGAGGATCATCGCAGCAGCCCAGCTGCTGTGCAGCGAGGGGTTTTACAGGTCAGCCAGCCCCTGCTCCATTTGCAGCCCCCGTAAGCCCTCGTCCGCACCCGAACGGCAGCAAGCCTCCGCCTGGGATGCTTTTTGTCACTGTTGACTCATTTGCTTGTTTTTTAAACACCCAAGTCCTGGTGAAAATGTTGATATTCCAGAAAGATAGAATTGGGAAAATTCTCCACCTCTGGTTTTGGCAGCCGGGGGCAGATAAAGAAAAGAATTCATCAGCACGAGTCTGCGAAACTGTAACAATCGCAAAATGTTGCCAATAAAAATTGCTCCTACGAGGATAACCAGAAGCAAACGGAGTCCCGTACCGCCAGCTAGCAAGTGGGGCATCTGTGGTGCCCATACCTCCAGGTCTCTCTCCAGGTCATAGCTGTCCAGGCTCTGGAAGGCGCTGGAATAGACCTCCACCGCTTTGGCGTGGAACACCATCTCAATGGTGACAAAGTCGGAAAAGATTTTCTGTGGGGAAAGAAGCCCGAATCACGTAAGCGGCACTGGCCCAAGGAGGGTCCCGGGGTCACCTTGAACGTGGAGCAAATGGGCGGGTGGGGGGGGTAGTGTTAGCTGTCCTCTGGGGGTGGGGAGGTCCTAAGCCAGTGTCACTCTGCTCAGCAAGCGCTTTCGGGGTTCCTACGCATGCCTGGCTCCAGTGAGGCCTGCTGCTGTGCGCCAGGCCCCATAATGTGTGCCAGGCCCCCTACTGTGCGCTACGCCCCTACTGTGTGCCAGGACCCCTGCTGTGTGCCAGGCCCCTACTGTGCACCAGGAGACCCTATTGTGCACCAGGACCCCTGCTGTGCGCCAGGACCCCTACTGTGCACCAGGACCCCTACTGTGTGCCAGCACCCCTGCTGTGCTCCAGGACTTCTACTGTGCACCAGGACCCCTGCTGTGCGCCAGAAGCCCTACTGTGTGGCAGGCACCCTCTACTGTGCACCAGGCATCCCCTACTGTGTGCTAAAACCCCTCTCACTGTCCACCAGGCCCCCCCTACTGTGCACTAGGGCCTTACTGTGTGCTAGCACCCCCTACTGTGCACCAGGCACCTCCCTACTGTGCGCCAGCCCCCCTACTGTGTGCTAGCACCCCCCACTGTGCACCAGGAACACCCCTCACTGTGCACCAGTCCCCCTGCTGTGTGCTAGCACCCCCCACTGTGCACCAGGCCCCTCTACTGTGTGCCAGGCCCCCCACCATGTGCCAGAACACCTACTGTGCACCAGGCACCCCCTACCATGTGCCAGGCCCCCTACTATGTGCCAGCACCCCCTACTATGTGCCAGGCACCCCCTACTATACGCTAGGCCCCCTACTATGTGCTAGCACCCCCTCACTGTGCACCAGGCACCCCCACACTGTGCATTAGGCAACCCCCTGTACTGCGCACCAGACCCCCTGTGTGCTAGCACCCCCCCACTGTACACCAGGCACCCCTCTATTGTGTGCCAGGCAACCCCCCCATTGTGCACCAGACCCCCTACTGTGTGCTAGCACCCCCTCACTGTGCGCCAGGCAACCCCCCCACACTGTGTACCAGGCACCCTCTACTGTGTGCCAGGTACCCCCAACTATATGCCAGCACCCTCTACTGTGTGCCAGGTACCCCCTACTGTGCGCCAGGCACCCTACTATGTGCTAGGCCCCCCCCTACTATGTGCCAGCACCCCCTACTGTGCACCAGGCCTTCACAGAGACTCCCACTTTGCTTTGGGCCCCAGCAGGACACAGGCTTGGGGCGGGGGAGGAGGAACACCCCGTTTCCCATAAACTTTGGAAATCCCTGGCCAGGGAGGCAGGCTCCGAGGAGGTCTCCAAGCCAGCACTGGCGACGAAAGGGAGAAGGGCCAAAACGGGGAGCGCCTTCCTCCTGCCTCCCTCCCACCCCCGCAAGCCCCCCAAGCCGACTTGGTGGTGAGCGCTGTAGCCCAAGAGGTGGGGCCAAGCCTTCTCCTGTCACTCACTGACCTATGACTGATCCTGTCTGAGCCCCCGTGTCTTCATCTGCACGGCGGGGCCCAGAGTGGCCCCAGTTCACGAAGCCCCCCCGAGATTCAGTTATGCAGCCGCTCTGTCTGGCTGCCCTGAATCAGCACCAGCCCTACCTGGGGGTTTGTGAGAAATGCACGTTCTCCAGCGCCCCCAGACCCACGGAATGGGGCTCCAGGGTGGACCCATCGCCGGGCGGTCTGCGCGTGAAGCAGCCCTCCAGGAGCTCCCTGACCCACGCTCGGCTGCGGGAAGGCCTGCCCGGAAGCGTTACCCACGTGCTTTTACAGGAGCCGGAGAGCTCTCCTGTGCTTAGGATCACTTTATTAGAAATGTGACCTAAAACTATACACTGATAGTCATTATCTCAAGTTCTGCGTTTTTTCGCTTTTAAAACTGGGAGAGTTCTTCGGGGGGGATGGTTTGGAGAAGGGCCTCTTACAAACTTAATCCCCAAAGTTTGAAAGGTGCCTATTTTAAGCTGCATGCGCTTCTTGGCCTCTAACTGTGCCAAGAATCTTGTCCTAAACCCTTGCCAGCACCCCGCTTGCCAGGGCCCCGCGTTCAGGCCCCATAAACATCAGGTGCTGAATAACGGTCTGCAGGTACTTTTAGGTCCTGCCTGCAACGTGGACGCTTGAGCGCTAACCCCCACAGGTTTCTCTCACTGGTGCATTCACTTACTCGCCATTCACTTCCCAGATATTTACTGAGTACTGCTCAGCGCAGGCCCTGGACCCAGTGCAGGGACCCAGCGGGGGACACGACACACAGGCGCCACGTCGTGCCCCGTGTGTGACTCATGTGGCACCAACAGGCGGGGGGCGGGGTGGGCAAGTTGCCCCCTACACTCTTCACCCCACGATGATTGGCATGTGTCATGGGTCTTCCCCAGGGTATCAACTCCATGAGGACAGGGGCCTTGCTTCTCTGACTGTGGTGTCCCAGCGCCAGGCACAGTGTCTGGCACATAGTAGGTGTGTATTCAGCATTTGTTGGGTTGATGAGTGAGTTAAAAATACAATTAACCCATCTACCCTGGGATAACTGCCCCCAGGGGGCGCAGAGCCATGAATTAATGTCAGGGATGGACTGAGCTGGGGCTCCCGGTGAGTTTCCCTGAAGATGAGGTGTAACTTGACGCAGAGTGAGGGCAAAGCCTTCCTGGCAGAGGGCATGGCCTGTGCAAAGGCCCTGAGGTGTGTCGGGGTTTGGTGCCCTGCAGCTTGGATTGCTGTGTCCAAGATAAGGCTGGGCTGGGGCTTCTGGAGGCTTGGGGAGGATTTCTATCTTTATCTTTAGAGTAAGGGGGGGTCATGGGAGGGTACGTAACCCAGGAGTGATAAATGGCAGCCGCCGTTTGTGAGACCCCTGGGACTGTAACGTGGGTGCGGGGGGTTGCTGAGAGTGGGTGCAGGGATCTCTGTGACTGGCTGGGGCTCCAGGATTCTAGGTCACACTGTGGGGTGGAGTGGGGGAACAGGGTGGGGGGGGTGGAAGGAGGAGGCACCTGTGCCCCCCCACTCCTTGTGCCTAACCATAGCTTACTCGGTCAAGGGCAAAGAAAGAAGGAGGAAGTCAGAGCAATGCTGTGGGTCCTTGTGTGGAAAGGATGGGGATTTGGGCTGGTGGTGGCAAAGTCTGCCAAATTCTCCTGGTGGGAGCTGGGCCTGGGTGTTTAGAGGCAGGGCCTTCCCCTGCAGCCAGGATTAGGCCAAGATTAGGTGTCCTGGGAGCCCAGGCTCTGAGACCCGTCCGGGCAACTGGCAACACATGCTCACGTACACACATCTGTGCTCACAAACACAGTGTGCACACATGTGCATGCACGCTCACAAGTCCACACACAGATGCGCACACACATGTGCGTGTACGAACACACTCACACTCGAGGCCAGAGTACTTCCAACACCGGGCCGCCCACGCCTACCTGTAGGTCCTTCAGCTTCTGCTTCTGGAAGGTGTCGATCATCTCCTCCAGCTGGTGGGTGGTACGACTGGCATCCACTGAGGCCCTCTGCACACTGGTCTCTGTCTGGCTCCAGAGGCAGGAAGTGTCACGGGGCGGTCCGGGCCTTTACACACTACTCTGGATCGTTTCCCATTCTCCCTTTGGGTCATCTCTCCTGCCTCATGGACCTCTCTTGCCAATTTGGTCATCAGAGGAAAGGCCAAGCTGGACCATGGTGAAAGGGCTGGGCGCCGCTTGGCCAGACCTGCTTACTGGCTGTGTGACCCTGGGCCGGTCACGAAACCTCTCTGAGCCTCAATCTCTTTGCCTATAAGCAGGGGACAGTAATAATACCTGCCTTGCAGGGTTGTTGAAGGAATTAAACAGTGGGCACCTGCTGAGCTATTAGTATAATAGGTGTCCCACTTTTGATAATAATTCCTGCGTGTGGAATGTTTTTAGGTAATTAATTTGTCTGACCTGACTGGTCACCAGGCACACGGAGAACCTGGATTTTAGAGTTAGAGACCGTCAGAGTGGAGTTCCAAGTTTACCCCTGGCCTCCCCTGTGTGACCTCGGGCAGGTCGCCTTTCTTGGCCTCAGTTTCCCCATCTAGACAGTGGGCATGAAGCTAGAGGTGCCCACACCCAGTGAGCATTTAGTGAGTAGCCCTGGTAAGGAAGTGGGGCCTTGGAGGGGGTGACTTGCTGGCTTACTGAACAGTGCTAATGAGGGGACAGACTCGGGTCTCCTGACCCCCCAGCCCACCGCCTGCCCTGCACCTTTGACTTGCATCCTGAGCACACAGTTCTGCACACACCTGCCCAGGTAAAAGCTCACCTCGCCGTTCCGTGGGCCATGCCTCACCTGCCATGAGCCGCTGCCTTCCCCCCACAGACACAGGGCACTCACCTGGGTCTGAGATCGGTGTGGTTAAGGAGCCAGGTTAACCAGCAGCCCCTACCCAGGGGACACCCGTGACCAATGGCCACCCTGGCCCAGCAGCTTCAGGCCCCACTTCCAGGAAGGATACAATCATTTGCCTGTCCGAAGGGGACTTCTGCCTCAGTTTCTCCAGCTTTTCCAATTGTTTGATCTCATTCTTCTGGACTTGCTTGAATTTCTTGATCTCAGCCTAAAGGGAAAAGGAGGGCCGTTTCCTGGTTGTCCCGGCGGGCCAGACCCCGTCAGGCAGTGCCCCTTGCTCACCTGTGTCTGCTTGATGTGCGCCCCGTAGAGTTTCAGGGGGTGGATGACCTTGGTCTCCAGCCTCTCGACCTGAGGGAGTGTGGACAAGCAGAGAGTCAGAGCAGATGGAACCAGGGGGTGCGTGGAGCCGGTGTGGGCTCCAGCCTACATTCGTAGAGTGCTGCGTGCACACCGTAGCTGCATGACAGGAGCCCGTGGGGGGCCGTGGAAGCACGAGACACCCTCCCTCCCCGCTTACGGTTGAGGATACCTGCCTGTGCTCATGGCTCTACCTCCCCAAGGCTCGGGCGATCCGTTTCATCTCACGAGCCTCGTTTCCTCCCTGTAAAATGGGCATAATGGCTGTGCCCACCAAGGGTTTCATGACAGTCCATCAGGTGCCACTGCCAATTCAGTTCTCCAGCCGGCCTTACCGTCCCCACTGCGGGGACTAGTAGGTGCACTTGGAACACGAAGTAGCCCGGGATTCAGAGCTGACTGAGCTGAGAGCCCTATGCAGCCCCCAAGGGCACAGCAGGGTGTGTGAGGGGGATGCCTGATGCCCCTGAGTCAGTCCCTGAGAGTCAGACTTAGGAGCCTCCCATCCCTTCCCCTGGGCTCCTTAAAACCCTGATTGCCAGTTACCCCCCACCCCACCCCAGGGGTTCTGAATGAGCAAGTCCTCAGTGTGACCCAAGAATCTGCATTGCTAACAAGTCACAGGTGAGGCTGAGGCCTTGAGGACCAGTGGCAGGGAGATCCTCTGAAATTTTGGCTTGCCAGATGCTCCAGGAGATCTAGAAGCCCCACCAGGCCCCTTCCTTTACCTTGTCAAGGCTTATGACCCTGCTAGGGGAAACACAAATCTTAAATAAATAATAATTCTCCCAGGAGTCAACTTTTAAAAATAATAATAATTTTCCCAGGAGTAGAAAGGAAAAGAGACTTTCCCCCTTGCTTTCCTTACAGCATTTTCTTTTAGAAAACCTGCAATTGTAAATCCCTTTCTTCTGTCCCTTTGGGACTCATGTAAACCTTTCTAAAAGCTAAATAAGATTCTTGATGGTTTACAAGCTGGGAATGGCAGGCGTGTCTTTGAAACGTAAACATCGAGGATGACAGGTCTCTAGGGAGTTTGCTCAGGTACCTGGTTCCAAGCCTGTGAAGACCTGCTTGTTACAGAGAGAGGAGAAGTTTTACTCTTCCTTCGGAGAGAGGCCACTCACTGACACAGGTGGCCACCCTGTCACCAGGTGGAATTAGGAATGGTGGGGGGACGAATGGTGCCATTAGTCCTGCGTCCTGAGACGGTGAGTGTGGGGTTGTTTCTGCCTGGCTGTGTAGAGGAGTGAGGTTTCTTTTCTTTCCTTTTTTAAAGGATTTTATTTATTAATTCATGAGCGACACACAGAGAGAGGCAGAGACACAGGCAGAGGGAGAAGCAGGCTCCATGCAGGGAGCCCGACGTGGGACTCGATCCCGGGGCCCCGGGATCACGCTCTGAGCCAAAGGAAGATAGATGCTCGACCACCGAGCCACCCAGGCGTCCCCAAGGCAGGGAGGTTCCTGTGTGCCAGCCCCTGTGCACTGCCTGCAGTGTGTGCTACAGTCTGGTTTCATGCTTATTCCAAAGAGAAGCTGGTTGGTTCAGAGGACTCTCCAGGGCTGGCAGGTGATTTTTATTTTTAGCTCTCTCCCTAACACCCTGCTGCCTCCTCACTGCAGCCGCCAGGATTTCTCCGGGTCCTGGGCTCCGGGCTTGTGCCTCCGATCTGGGACTCCTGGAGCCCACAGCCCCCGCCCTCAGGCTGGGCTTCCTGGGGTCCTTGCCTTGTCTGGCTTTTGTCCAGCACCACAACGCTTCCAGGCTCTCAGCCCCATGGCATGGGGCAGGGAGGTGGGGGGGTGTATGACCGGGGAGGGAGCTCTATGCATGTCCACCCCTCACGGACACCTCTTTAAGAGACATGTGCACTAGCTGTGCCCCCTGCAGCGCAGCTCCAGCCCTCAGACCTGAGCCCAGCAAGGGGCCCGGGGTCCCCCTGGGCGCCCCTGCCTACCTCGGCCTGCCGATAATCCTGCACTTTGGCCAGGTCCTCGGCGAAGTTCCTCACGGTGGCCCGCATCTCAGGGTTCTCGGTGTTGGCGAAGTCGATGAGCTGTTTGACCAGCTGGTCGGCCTTGTCCCTCAGCCGGGCCGTCTTGCGGGTGTAGGCGGCCAGCAGTGAGCAGAACTGGCCAAAGTACTTCTCGGCATTGGTCACTGTGTTCTCCATCACCCGCACCTGGCTGTTCCTGGGGAGGTGGGAGCCTGAGAGGCAGTTCTGGGCCATGACACCAGGGCAGGTCGGGACAGCAACACAGAGGTCACCCACCCATCACCCTGCACCTAGCTGGTGAGCTCCCTGCCCGGGGCCTGGTCCCATCTGATGATGCTTGTGGTTCTATCAAGGCAGATCTGGGAGGCCAGCCAGGTCGCAGGCTGGTCAAGGGGCCGGCAGGGATGCAAAGGCTGCTCTGGTTCCAAATCCAGCCTTACCCTCCCTGGGACCCTGAGCGGGGCTTTAGCATCTTCCTGGCAGAGTTATTCATCCTAGCTGCAAGGGCCCCTCCCCCCAGAATCCCCTGATTCTGCCTCCACCTCCCACCCTGACCTCCCTGAGCTGTTCAAACTGTCTCCCTTCTCTGAGCCCTGAAGGTTGTTAAAAAATGAATAAACTTTTTTTGGGGGGGGCCAGGTTTAGGTTTACAGAAAAATTAAGTGGAAGGTACAGAGAGTTCCTCAGAGCACAGGCGGTTTCCCTATCATTAGCAGGGGCTGCGTGTTTCGAGAAGCACCTCGAGTGGTTTCAAGGTCGAGTCTGTGACCTTCAGAGGAACCAGGCACCAAAATAAATGGATAAGGGGCAGGCAAGCCCCAAGGGAGCGTTGATAAAACCTGGTCAGAGAGGGTCAGGGACCATTCCACGGGGGCTGGGGGTGTCGTCTGGGGGGCTCTGAGGCACTAAGAGAGGTTTTGCAGGTGGAGCCGAATGAGGGAAAGAGGGGATGGATCCTGTGAATTTGGCTACCTCAGAGCTGTGGGCAGTAATGCCAGAGAGCAGAGGTCAGATTCTGGAAGCTTCCCTGGCCTTCCCTTGACCTTGAGGTGGGGTGAGGTGGGACGGAGAGCAGCCTTTACCACCACCCGCCCCAGGAGGCCTGGCTGCCCCCATCTCTCTTGCTGCATCAGCCCCCCAAATCCTGCCTCCCAGCCCCTCCCAGCCAAGGCCAGCTCAGGCCACTCACCTGGAGAGAACAATGCTCATTGTGACGGGGGGCACCAGCTTTCCTAGTCTAGGGGAATGGGACAGGGGCCCAGGGGTCCGGCAGGCCAGACTGGGGAGGGGAGAGGCTGGCGGGGCAGGGCGCAGCTGTGTGGTCCCGGCTCTAGGGCTCTAGGGACGCTGCCACCTGGTTGCCAGGCAACATGGCCACCCACAGCCACCCTGGGAGGAGCCCCAGCTGGTTGCCTGGCAACGTCTCCCCAGGCCAGCCTGGCTGCGGGGAGGGGTCCCAGAGGACCCCAAAACCCCCCTCCACCAGTACACTTCGTTTGACTGGACGTTCTGTGGAGCCAGGCAGTGTGGGGGGGTCCAAGGATGCAACAGAGATGGGATTCAGGGCAGCTTGCGTGGGGCTCAGCCTGCACAGGAGGGAGGGCCCTTCCTAGCCATGAGGGGGTGCCGCCCCACCTCCCCCCAAAAGTCTGGGTGTGGTGAGCAGGGTCCTGGGATACCTGCTTACTCGGGAGGGAAAGCACAGCGTCACTCTGGGGGGGCCTGAAGCCGTGTAGCTGAATGGAGGTGGCGGGACACCAGCCAAAGGGACTTTTTAACATTTCCATCATCATTTTATCATATTTCCCCTTCTTTATAAAAAACAGTTCTTGCTCGTTGTTAGAAAAGTACGAAGGTACAACACAGAGAGAAAATCCAAGACCACGCTTGAGAAATCATGCTAAAGGGGCACCTGGGTGGCTCAGCGGTTGAGCGTCTGCCTTCAGCTCAGGGCGTGATCCTGAGGTGCAGGGATCGAGTCCCACATCGGGCCCCCTGCGTGGAGCCTGCTTCTCCTTCTGCCTGTCTCTCTCTCTCTCTCTCATCTCATGAATAAATAAAATCTTTAAAAAAAAAAGAAATCATGCTAAAGATACAACACATTTTACTAAGGGTAAGATGTATTCATTTCATGGTGTGTACATTTTACCTAAAGAAGTGTGGAAGTGGCAGCGACGACGTAGGAGATCGGGTGGGAAGATGGACCAAACACACGCAGCAGAACGTTGGCAACTGTTGCTGCTGTGGCTCCCCGGGCGAGTCTGCTCATTTGGTGCATCTGGAAGCTAAACACGGGCTTACATCCCAGCCCCCAGCCCTGCTGTGTGACCTTGTGCGGGTCGCCTCCCCTGGAAAATGGGATCCTGACAATAGCTCCTTGGCTCGTCCTCGTCCTCCCTCGTTAGTAGAGAGAAGTCTTTGGAGTGAGGCAAAGGGGACAGGGTGGTGACTCCCTGTGCTGCTGCTGCTGCCTGGCCGCTCCCTACGCTTCCCTGTGCCCTGTGCTCCCTGCAGGCCCTGGGCGATGCCTACAGAGCTCCCCACCTCCTCTGACCCTGGTGCCCTGAGGCTCTTCCCTGCAGGAAGCTGGGAGCGCTGGATTGGGGGCTCCTGTACCCCTGCCCTGTGCAGTGCACCTGGTCACATCCCTCTCACATTCTTGGATCCCTTCACTCTTGGCGGCTGCACTGAGTAGAACAGGGTCCCCCCACCCTGGCCAAATGTCCCCCTAGAACCTCCGGAAGGGATCTTATTTGGAGAGAGGGTCTTTGCAGGTGGAATTAGGTGAGATGAGTCATGCTGGAGGACGGTGGGCTCTGGTCCAACGACTAATGTCCTCATAAGAAGAAGAAGCAGAGACCCAGGGAGACAGTCGTCTGGCACAGGGGCTGAGACTGGAAGGGTCTTGCCCTGGAGCCCTCAGAGGGAGCTCGGCCCTGCCCACACCCTGATTGTGGACCTCTGGCCTCCAGACTGTAGGATAAACCTCTGTCGTGTTAAGGCCCGTTTCAGGATGGCAGCCCCAGGACACTTGCACGTCCCCACATGCTGTGTCCTCCTGTGTCCAGCCTCTCTCCCTCACTAGGGGCTGGTGACCTGCCTAGTTTCCTCTGACGTCACTCCGACTTCACACCTGTGCCTTATACATTTGATTATCTCTTTGGCTGATGAATGCCCTCCCGAACAAGCCAGACTGAGAGTCTTGTCCAATGTGGAAGAGGCACCTTTGCCCTGGGTTCTGGATCCTGTCCCTGACCAGACAAGCCTCCTGCCCTGTGTCCCTGTCCCTCTTGCTCCTTCCTGCCAGCGTCAACATGAGCAAACCTCTCCTCCTTATGGAGACATGCTCCCCAGCTGACTTCCCCATCCCTCCCAGCTTCTACTCCTTGCTTCGTGGGACTTTGCAAACAAGTGGCCTCTCCTTGCTCTCGTTTCTCTACCCTCCGTCTCTCTCTTTCTCCCTCTCCCCGTCTCTATCTCTGTGTATCTCTCTCTCTGGCATCATCAAGGACTCATGCAAGTAACACCCAGGGTAACAGCGATGCCCAGCACCCCCAGGGCCCACCCTTGGAGCCCCGCTCAGCCCCCTGCACAGCCCTGTTCTTACTCCTCGCACACTCAGAGAACAGACTTTCTCTTACAAAGGGTGGGCTTTCCCAGGTCGTGATCCTGGAGACCCGGGATCGAGTCCCACATCAGGCTCCGTGTATGGAGACTGTTTCTCCCTCTGTCTGTGTCTCTGCCTCTCTCTGTCTCTCTCTCTCTCTCTCTCTGTCTCTCATGAATAAATAAATAAAATCTTAAAAAAAAAAAGGATGGGCTTTCTTTTAAAAATTAGGAGTTGGAAACCAGGACAGCATAATGTGAGACCAGGGAATTTTACTTTAAAATACTTTAAAATTACTTAAAATACTGGAAAAATGCTTAAAATTCCTGCTGACCAACTCCTGGTGGTCAGATTTCTTTCTTTCTTTCTTTCTTTCTTTCTTTCTTTCTTTCTTTCTTTCTTTCTTCTTTTTTAAAGATTTTATTTATTTATTCATGAGAGACACAGAGAGAGAGAGAGAGGCAGAGACATAGGCAGAGGGAGAAGCAGGCTCCATGCAGGGAGCTTGACGTGGGACTCGATCCCGGGTCTCCAGGATCTGGCCCTGGGCTAAAGGCGGCGCTAAACTGCTGAGCCACCTGGGTTACCCTCTTTCTTTCTTTCTTTCTTTCTTTCTTTCTTTCTTTCTTTCTTTCTTTCTTTCTTCTTTCTTTCTTTCTTTCTTTCTTCTTTTCTTTCTCTTTCAGATTTTATCCATTTATTCATGAGAGACAGAGAGAGAGGCAGAGACACAGGCAGAGGAAGAAGCAGGCTCCCTGCGGGGAGCCTAATGAGGGACTCGATCCCAGGACCCTAGGATCACGCCCTGAGCTGAAGGCAGACGCTCTACCACTGAGCCACCCAGGTGCCCCATGGTGGTCAGATTTCTGGGTCAGCTGCCTGGCCCTCAGAACATCCCACCACCCATCAGACGCCCAGGTAGGTGTTGCCCTGAGCCTCACCTGGTGCACGTGGGCACCCCCGATGTCCATGCTGTGGGGGCCCCACACCATCCTCAATGCCTCGATCACTGGCCTCAGGAGAAAAACTAAGCTTCCCAAACTCCACCTCCAGACCCCAGCATCAGCTCCTGCAGGGGGAGGGGGGTGTCCAGGCTGCTCAGTGGAGTTTGGACCTGTCGGCACCCCCAGTCCCACGCGCCAGCTCCTTAGCCTAAGTCCCTCGTCTGCCTGAGGGACTGGCTCAGTTTCCCTGGAGCCCCCAGCTCTTCCAGGATGGGGAGAAGCTGCAGAGCTCTGCAGGCCCCTGCCCTCCAGGAGGGGCGTCTGTGTGGCAGGCAGCGGCCACAGGAGGGCAGCAGAGACCCCCTCATGGGGACCTCCGAGCCGGCGCAGGGGTGCGGCGAGGCGGGGGACCTGGAAACCAGGGCGGGAAGCACAGCCCAGAAACCACCACCGCCTCGACACGGGCGGCAGGGAGAGCGGCCGGCGGGTCGGACAGGAAGGGCCACGTTTTAATTCCCATCTTAGCAACTTGAAGGAACTTTGGAAAAGGAAAACCACCTTCTCGTAGGGCCACGTGGAGACACCTTGCGGCCGGAGAGGGAACAGCTAGGGGACAGGGGGCCGCGGGGCTGCAGGGCCCCTCCCGCCCCCTCCCGCCGCCTCCCCACCCCACACCCCTTTTCAGGGGCAGGCAGGTCTGAGTCCGGGCAGAAGGTGAACACACCTGCTGGGGACCGGGTGTAGAGCCCCTGGGCTCCGTCTCTCTTTCCTGTGAACCACGAGAGGGATGCACATCCTGACCCTTTGGCCAGACTCCCGCGTGCACCTGCAAAGAGCAAGGACGTTCTCCTGGGAGCCCTCACCTGACTGTCACACCCAGGAAATCCAGGGACCGGGGGTGGCATCACGCGTCCCCCACCGTCCCAGCCCCTGCTGATCTGGGAGGGTTTGCAATACCTGCCCGAGGCTGCTTAGTCTCCTTACATTGAGAACTGCTCCTCAACCTCTTTCTCCTTCAAGACTCTGACTTTTCTATTTTGTAACTTTTTATTTTGAAATAATTTCAGTGGTACAGAAATCCCGCAAGAAAGAACGCTTTCACCCAAATTCCCCAAATGTTAACATTTTCCTGAGTTCGTCTCACTGTTGTCTCTCTCTCTCTGTGCGTGTTTTCTGATCCACTTGAGAGCAAGTTGCGGACCCGACACCCCCAGACCCAGACACTTCATGGGTGTTTCCTAAGAGCAGGACAGGCCTCTTACGTAGCCACAGTACAAATGGCGAAATCAGAAAACTAACACGTAATATTATGTTCTATTATCTCATCTACAGACTTTGTTCAGAATTCACACTTGTCCCAATAATGTCATTGTAGGAAATAAGCAAACATAATTTTCTCCTGCTCCAGGATCCAGTCCAGGCTCACCGGCTGTCTTTAGCTGGCCTGATTCTGACATCTTTGTGGATGCTGGGCCCGTCGTTTTGGGGAACGTTGCTCCATTTGGGGTCATTAGTGTTTCCTGGAATGTCGGGTTTCACACTTGGGAGGAGCGCTCAGAGGTGGTCCTGGGCCTGGGTTCAGTCGATCCTCTCTGTGGGATTCAGTGCTGCTGACGGTCCCCTCCACCCCGGCTCTGGATTGCTGGTAGGGATGCCTACCTGCACGAGCACATAGGTTCTTGCCTCGTGGAACCTTCTATCC